AAGGGCTGAAAGGAGATGCGACGAGATTTTCATCCACTTTCATCGTTGTCATTATCTATTAGTAATATTGCTCCCATTTTTGTTTTAGTGTGAACTTTGTAAGTTTTTTAGATATTTTTTGTTGTAAGTTTTTTCATTTTTTTTTTTTTTGGATTTTTTACCAAGGGATTAATCCTGATCATTGAATTTTTCAAAATTTTAATATCAAATGCGTCACAAAGTTCCACGTGGCACAACATCATCTTTTTAAATTTCTATTATTGTTTGAATTTAATGGTCCGGATCAACAAACGGTTGCAAATCCAACAGCTATGAGGCGCCCAAATTGGAGCTATTTGGTTCACTTCGGTGCACGGGGTTAGGGCCAACCTTCTGCTACTTGACGTCAAGCCCATCGTTACTTATTGCCAACTGGCTACAAGGGTAGTTCAACGAGGTTCTTGGAGCCCACCAATTGCCTACCCAATTTGGCACCGATGGACCATCATTTTTTTGGTCAAGGGCAATTTAACCCAATTGCCTGGTGGATTGGCAAGAATTATGATGAGCATGGTAGAATTTTCAGCAATGGAGTATACACCTAAAATAGTCAGGAAGAAGCTGTACTGTGTCTTTTTTTTTAACTTATAATTTATACAAAAGTTTTTTCCGGAATAATGTTATATTGTTAGACAATATTTAAATGCAACATTGTCAAAACAATTTTTGGAATGACGGACTAGTTAATTTTAGGGAGTTTTAACGAAACACTTTGATACTATTTACTTTTAACCAAAAATCATATTTTTACCTTTCCCTGGTACTATTCACGACACCTTTATTTGTCATTTTTCATTAAAACTAAAAACAAATTGGATTTTTCGTTAGTTTTCCCTTAATTTTAAGAACAATTTTAGAGCGACCCCTCATAAAGCTTTACTTATAGTTGTACGTTTGTTGTGGGTGGGTGTTTTTTTGGGGGTGGGGTGGGGTTTCCCTTATTTTTTGGGCTACCTTATTTGGAGTCGAGATCCTTTTCGAATTTTTGTTTTCGAAGTTCAAGAACTCGGAGATCCAGGTAGTTAAAGAGAGTGAGATCTGAACTCGTGGTTTGTGTGAGAACGGGCAATAAAATGAGCTATTGAGAATCGTTTGATTTAAAATGAGTGATCTAGATCTCTGTGTTTATTGGCTCCGGACACAGAGATACAAAAAAAGGTTTCCCCTATTTGGTGCAGTTCATTTAACGGGAAGCTTCATTGAATCACAATAATATGCAGGGGTACAAGATGATTGAAAGGAGCCCTCCTAAATTCGCCTTTTGCCGTAATTATATGAGGGTGGTGGTGGTGTTTAGAATTCAATTAAATCCCATACATTTTGGAGGTTTTCATTTAATCTTGCAAACATACATACTTAAGCAAAATATATCCCACTATAAGTATCTTTAGTTTTGGTAAGACAATATTATAAACTATAACTTACGAGAGAAGAATTTAAACTTGAATATAAGAATACGACAGATACAATGCCTTACCAACCGACCTAATCTATATTTACAGAGTAAATATATGTATAGACGCAAACAAAATCATGAACATTATAATGCTCAAGTTGGCATGCATTATCTCATCAAAACCTTATTATTTGGTTGGACGTAGGGACCATAATGTTCCCAAGGGAAAATTTTTAAAATGTCATATGAACTTGCACACCTTTTTCAATGTATCATATAAACTAAAATTTCAAGCAATTTGTCATACCAACTTGTCGAAATCATCAATTTGTTATCTCACCCTAACTCCGTTAAGTTTTCCATTCAAAATAAGTCATGTGCCTCGCACATAACTTGTGTTCAGGGTTATTTATGTCATTTTAAGATATTTTAACAAATTTTTATTTTTCTTTAGTAAAACCCTTAAAATTTGTGTTAGAGAGTATTCATGTGGATAGTTGTGTTTGAGTAGCGTATATATATTTGCAACTCCATTTCTAACACCAAACCTCAACCCGTTTCTCAAATTATAGAGCCTATATAAAATTCGATTTCGTGACATGCTAAACTAAACACACCCACTTTTGTATCTTAACATATTTTGAGCAACATTGTCTTCATCCATTGTCTTCAAAATAAAAAACACCAATACTGAGGGCTTAACGTTCACAACATTGTCTTCATCCAAAAAAGAAAAAAATGACATTAACAAAAAGTCTAAATTTCCAAATGATTTCTTCAGATTCTATGGTTTTTAGGTGGCTTTTTTGAATTGTGCACTGACTTGCCTCTTGCATTTTGTTTCACTCTACCCCTTTTAGAAACCTACAAACAATAAAAGTAAAAATAAAAAACCAGAAAAATTAACAGATGGCATTAGATGCGGATTGTTCTTGTCCCTGATTTGGTGGAGTTTCACTTCCCATATTTCCTCCAGTGGCATGCTACAAAATGATCAATAAAAAAGAATTACACATACACCCGTCTATAAATACAAGATTAAAATTTAAAATACCAAAGTTTTCAATGAGCACACCATTGCTTGTGTTTGTTGAGAATTAGTCCCACATTAATGAGATGATGGACCTTACATGAGCTTATAATAGGTTGGGCTGCTCCTTATATTGTCAATTGGTTTTATGGTGGAACCTCAACTTTCTTCATAGTATCAGAGCAGGTTGTTCCACGTGTGAAGTCCAACGGCCACACGTGCTCCACATCACCCCGTTGTGTTGTCCATGTGTTAGGCTTTAAAATTCACCACACTTGAGGAGCGTGTTAAGAATGAGTCTCACATTGATGGAATGATGGACCTTGCATGGGCTTATAACAAGTTGGGCTACTCCTCATATTGCCAATTGGTTTTATGGTGGAACTTCAACTTTCTTCAGTGTTTGCCCACTTTAAGTAGTTGGTGAGTTATGGTCGATTTCATTGGTCGCACAAGTTTGTACTCTCCCAGCTTCACCATAGGCCTATGAGTAGGGATGGGCAACGGTTATAGCGGACGGGTAACCGCGGTTATTTATCCATAACCGTTTATGCTCATACCCGCATAACCATTTACCTATTAGATAATTGTCTAAACGGTTATACTCATACCCATAACCATTTATAAACGGTTAACCATACCCATAACCGCATACCCATTTAACCGTAATCATTTAATACCCTTTTACCAATTTACCCTTTTTAACCCGTTTATCTTTTTTTTTACTATTACTCATTTTTCACCCGTCTACACATAACAAAAGGTTATTCCTTTTCACCCGTCTACACGTAAGAAAGGTTATCCACATTTTTTCCCATGTGTATAATATTTTTTCTATCTACTAACCCATGTATAACAAATTAATAGAATTTATTTTTATTGAAAAAATTAGGCAGTCACTCACACGATGGTCGACCAGAGCAAAAAAAAAAATGATGTTTTGAGCCCTCAGACCACTACTAAAATTTCATAAACAGTAATCACTAAAAGCTCACCATTTACGAACACCATCGGATCATCACCAGAAATAATAAAAAATACTAACAATAATGAAGCAGCAGCAGCAGCCAAATGGCAATCAACGTGGCCATAACCATCCATTTATGAAATAAATGGGTAAACGGTTACCCGTTTATAACTGCGGTTAATATCCATAATCACTTATTTAAATTTCACGGATAAACGATTATACCCATAACCGTAACCGTGAAGTTTAAATGGACATGATATTTTGCCCATCCCTACCTATGAGATGATCTTCCCCAATTTATAACAACCATATGTGACTAAAAATGCCGATAAGTGAAACCATTAAGCTACTTTAACCTGTGAAGCTTGTCGTTGCCTCTTCCCGCGTGTTGTACGATTATGACCTTTCTTGCCACACATTCCACAAGTGACCTTGCTGAAGCATTTAGGCAATTTGTTTAAGGTTGATGGTGGTTGTGGCTCAGCTTGCTCTCTTGCCCTCACCTTCTTTGGCCTACCAGCTTGCTTATAATACTTTGGAGGTGCAACGGGTTGGTGATTTGTAGGTGGCCAAAATTCTTGACTAGGCATGGCATGGATATAAGGACTAGGCTCTCAAGTATGCTGCTTTCTTGTAACAAGAATGAACACACTTGTATGGATCGTCCTCCTTTCTATAGATTGCAGCAATTCCATGGGCACAAGGAATTCCAGTGAGATCCCACCTTCTACATTTACATGTGTGTTTTGCTAAATCAACCACATATTGTGGAGAAATTTTTCATTGTGATGAGTACAAAAGTGGTACATTACGTGTTTTAATGGAAGTAGTGAAATTTTTATTTTTTAAGTTACTAACTTTTTAGTACACATATCCCACCATTTGTATAGTGACACATTTGTGTATCATCCAATGTATCGAACGCATTGAAAAATCTCTCCTGGATGTGAACCTTTAATGTGGCATCCATTCAATCCCACCACTGACCTACAACCTTCCAAAAAACCTTTTTTTCAAAGGAAAATTAATAAAACGAGTTTTAAAATTTTGAATTTTAATAAAAAGTTATGGCCAAATTGGATTATTCATCCCCGTGGTCATAGGAAACTTGCATGATGACCCCCGTGGTGAAAAAATTAGGAATTAAACCCCTGTGGTCAAGAATGTTAGCAAATTTAGTCCAAAAGTAAGATTTCTGTTAAATGACTATTAAAAGTATGGGTAAAACTGTATTTTCAGCTCCAATTAACATTTAAAATAAATAATTTTTTTATAACAATTAACAAAAAAAATAATGCTTAATTTTTTAAATAAAAAAAAGCCCCAATTCAATGTCAATTGGAACTGAAAATACAGTTTTACCCCAACTTTTAACAGTCCTTTAACAAAAATCTTATTTTTGGACTAAATTTGCTAACATTCTAGATCACAGGGATTTAATTCCTAGTTTTTTCACCACGGGGGTCATCATGCAAGTGTCCTTTGACCACGGGGATGAACAATCCAATTTGGCCAAAAGTTATTTATTAACTTTATTTAATGGTTAGGACAAATTCAAAATCAAACCAGTCCAATAAAACTGGGCCAAGCAGCGAGTTTCCGATTTTACCCCGACTGCAATCCCTTTCCCTGTTTGCTTAGTCTGTTATCCTTTTCTCTTTGCTATTTTCTCATTTTGTAAGCCCGGTATGATCGTGAACGACGGCGAGGGCGCTACCCTCGTGACCACAAGGAAGTGAAGGACGAGGAAGAGTTCGAGAAGCCTGAGACGATCTCGACCAGTCTTCCACCGATAAACAGGAGTTGCAGATGGTTCTGACCATCATTAGAGATGGCTTGAAGAGCGACTGCAAAAGGTACTAGAAGATGGACAAAAACTGGGGTTTGTGCATTGCTGATTTTGATTCGATGAGTTTTTGCTTTTATGTTCAAGTCTTATCTGGATTTTGCTTCATAGAATCAAATTAACAGAGATTTGTATGAAGGACTGTGTTCTTGTTTGAGGTTAATAAGAGGCCGGCCGAGATGCTGCTGATGGCTGATTTCCTTAAATTAGAAGCTTTTTATTGTCAATTAGAAGCCTTTATTCTGTTTTTGTTGAATATTTTTTCATTTTTTTTAACTTTTTCTTGTATTTTTTCTGCCTGCTGAGTGATTCAGTTGGACTTAGGAACATCATGAAGGACAAAAAGCAGAACCCAGGTGCCATCTCTCTCTTTCTGTTTCTCTTTCTCTCTCTTATTTCCTTAAATTTTGTTTCATTTTCTACTTTAATTTTATTATTTATTGTCCATATAGTTTCTGAGGAAGTATGCAATTGCAAACTTAATGAACAATTTGAATATTCTATTAGTTATGTAAATTATTGTTTTCTTTTTGTTAATTTACTGAAAATTTGCTTAGGGAAATTTAGTTCCTGGTGGAATTGATTGAATGAATTGATGGCCTATGAAAGAAATCACAATTTCTGAAAAATTAACTGCAGTCTAATTTATGTGAAAATAATAATAGTGGTTGTTAACTTGAGCAGCAGGGCTTGCTCAACTCATAATTGTGGGTCAGCAAGATGATCGGGTAGAGCCCGCTCAGGAAAGTTCTACACTGTCGGTGTTTGTGAATTCCGAACCAATGAGGGAGGAACAAGTGCAAAATGTTGTGAAATTCCTTTCACACCCGAAAGTTAGGGGCTCTCTCTTGTTGTTTACAGGCGGTCTTTTTTCGAGAAGAAGGGTCTCACAAAAGAAGAGATTGACGAAGCGTTTCGGCGTGTGCCTGTAAGTAAATTGATTATTGGTGTTCAAGCCGATTGCTAATTAAATTCTCAATGTTTTCCGTGTTTGACATTGTTTGTTTGCAAATTGTAGGACCCAACTGGTATTCGGGATTTGAATTGAGTTTTTGTGTGCATCATGTGGAGTTTCATGTTCAGGTGCACACTTGTGTATATCATTGAGCCATTTAGGCAATTCATTAGGTTTAAGAGAGAAATCAATTTCATGGAGTCGAAATGTGAAAACCCATTTTATACATTTTTGTAGAACATGTTTTAGTCTGACCTTGATTCAGGTAGCAGGTTGACTAAAGAGTCATCAACCATTCATGTGGGTATGAAATTTTGATTAGGTTGAAGATTTTGTACACCATCTCATATTAATAGGGAACAGAATATCGGTAGAAATTGAAAGTTAATCAGTTTTTTTTTTAATGTCAAGTTCTTTGTCTTTGTTCATATTTCATCTTGAATATGCAAAATCTCTTATATCTTCCTTTTTCCTATATAGCATGTGTATTGATGCATTGATGAGCTTGTTCTTATATTGTTGGGTGTTTGAAAGGTTTACTAAACCATTGTGCGTTCTACTTGAAAATTACGTGACAATCCGTCCCTACATTTACAATTTTACTAATTTTAAAAACATGGTTTGACGAAAATGCCCTAGAGGCAAAGTTTTTTCATTATCGTTGGCCTTTGGTTAGAGAGACGTAGGATCCATTCTCTCAACGTATCCTTGTAGTTCTCGACAGAACAAACGCGTAGGCACAAACGGATCTCAGTTTGGAGCTAAAACGAAGATCTTATGAAACTACGAATCTTGAGGGATATTTTAAATATTGTATATTTTATCTGTGTTTGTGGGACCCATCCATGTTGGTCCCCTCTCCCATTTGGCCGCGTGTCTTACTTTTCCCTCAACTCTCTATCACTCTCATTCCTCTCCCGTCTCTCCCTCCCAAGTACTCTCCCTTTCACTCTCGGACCTCCCTCTTCCCGAGCCCTCTCACACCCACCCACCGTACACCCACCCACGTTGGCAATGTAAAGCTGATAACAAGTAACCAGAAGATAAATAACTTTTCTAACTTATCACCGTGACCATAAAGGCAAATAGATTTGTGATCAAAATTCCTCCTGATCCAAGACCGAAGTCTAAAGGGATTGAATGCTTTGAACTAATAAGAATGAACGTATTTGTTAAGGTAGGATAAGGATCAAACTTTTTAAATTGTCCATTATATCAACCATTCATCCACAAGCTTACCATTTGAGCTCCAAAATAATTTCACTTATCATGTCAACCATGGGATATCAATTACCTTTTAAATGCTTAGACAAACACCATCCCCCAATCCAAACCACAACAAAAGGGAAAAAGAAAGGTCTCAGAAAACTATGATCAGGCACCTAAATGTAGGTGAGGCAATGCGAGTCGCCCAGGAAAAGGCTGGTGCATCCTGCTCAGCTAAGCAATTTGCCAACAATCCTAAAAATGTAAAAACATTTGACGATTTTGTTTGATTGTTTGTTCAGAATCAAGATTAGAATTCATAACAACAATGCAATGCTATTCCCAAATACAACTTCCTGTAATGAAATTTGAAAACCATTTACTCGTCCTCCAATTCATGGATTGAAATTTGAAAACCACAAGCCCCAACCCAGTCATTCCATCCAAAACACATCAAACATAGTATTATAATTTAATCGAGTTAAAAACTCATTAGGGATAGATCAACATTCACAAAGATAGAATCCCACGTCAACAATGAAAAGAGGTCAAACCATATGGAAATTGAATGATTGCGATAAACTATTTAAGATGTATTTGTACTAGAAAAGTAATTAAAAGAAATTTTACGAGATAATTAGATAATAAAAACTCATCCCCTCATATTAAAAAGGAGGTTCCAAATGAAGCACCTAACAAATTGAAAAGCGAAAGCATGAAGAAACAGCTCTAACCGTTTGTTCAAGCTCTTGACCTCCTCGTTTGTCATTTGCCCTCCAAGCCTAGCAACTCCAGCTTCTGGTTGCCGGAGTCTTCACCTTCATCATTAATTCGATTGGAGAAATTCAATAACAAAATGAAGAAACCGTGAATTGAAATCAGGAACGAAATCAGAAACCGAAACGAGAAGAGAGCGTACTATTTGACAGGAAATACTGAGCTTCAGAGGCTCGATACTGAGCCGCTTGCCTGGGGCTTATCAAATTCGATGATTCAATTGATTTGTGAACCGGCAGAATTCGAATTGAAAATGAAAAAGAGATTGGGTGGAGAGAGAGAGAGAGAGAGAGAGAGAGAGAGAGATTGCAAAAATGGAGGAAGTGAAATTGAATTGGAAATAAAAGCAATAGCAGAGAAAAGATGGAGGATCGAGAAAGGGGGAGAGAGACATTAAACGGGGAAGGGCATGCTGTAAGGGGCAAAATTGAAAATTCATTGTTAGGACCATTTTAATTGGATTGGTTTTATTTTGAGTTTTGTCCTAATCATTAAATAAAATTACTATATGATTTTTGGTTAACATTCGAAGTTTTTAAGTTCTTTTCATTAGTTTTCTTTTTTTTTTTAAATTGTAACAATCACTAGTCATATCAAGTTTTCTTAATTTTTAAACTTCATGGGGGCTCAAGACCCAAGCATTGCTTGAAAATTGTAAACTTCCCATACCATACTCTGCCATTCAAACATCAGAAAATATTGTTAGCAAACTGAGAACAAAATAGTTGAATTATGCAAATTCTTTTTTTTTTTAAGGATGTTGTGGAGAGGATGTGAATATTTACCTAAAACCACATAACCAATTATTCATGTTATTCCAACGGAACTCGTCTGATGTGTTGAAGCTTCTATATTGATCAGTTGTGAGAGAAACCTAGCTAACAAAGTCAAAAACATGTCCAGTACTCGACTTGTTGTACAAAAGAATAGTACTTGGCTTCACATCACAATGAACTATCGTGTTTCACAATGATTATGAAGATAATTGACTTATCGAGAGCACAAGCAACATCAATGGCAATGCTGAGCCTCTGCAAAAGATTTAAACTATTGGGTGCCTCTCTTGCTTCTTCAATATCAGTCGGTGGATGCAGCCACTTCTCTAAGCTTACTTTTTCCATGTACTCATAAACCAAAGCCTTGAAATCATTACCAAGAGAATCAACACTTGAACATGCAATTATAATCTTGACGAGATTTCGATGCTTGATATTTCTCAAAGCCTCACATCCAGATATAAAACACTTTGATGCTCCATGGCGTAACAAGTTAAACACCTTTACGGCGGCAACCAATTGAGCTCTATCATCAACATCGAGAACTACCTTGTACACAACCCCAAAACTTCCAGCACCAATCAAATTAGCCTCAGATAACCCATCAGTAGCTCTTAGCAGAGTAGCATATGAAACTTGCAAATAAGAGTTTGTTATTGTGCTTAACGAAATTTCTTTCCTTTCCTTTCTTGAGGAACAAAGAAATAAATATGACAAAACACTGAAGGGGATTATTTAATGTCAAGTTTCGAAATGATCCTCCCTTATTGGACTTGCACTTGCAGTTGGAGATTGTCACTACCTCCGTAAAGCCTGGTGTTGCCAGTTATCGAAATTTCTTTCCTTTTCTTATCTTAATGTTGTACAATAATCCGAATTGTCTATTTATATGTCACCTTTTAAAGTCCAACTTCTCCAAAAACCGAAGTAGTTCATACTTATGTTGTCATCTAACTGTTATCTGATAAATAAATGAACCATATTTTTCACTTAAATATTGAATTTTGACAACGTTAATTAAATGGTTAAACGATTTTTTTTTAGTTGATTTTTTTCAAAGTTGGTCTCTAGAGGATGAACTGGAAAGTATTCATGCGTCCGATCATCTTGCAACATTACAGAATGAGAGAGAGAGCCGAAAAGGTAGAGTGCAAAGGTCCGATTGAGAGGATCCGTAACATACCACATTCAACAAACTTAGGTATGGTGAGTAAATTGCATGTTTGAGTAGTTCTATGTTGCGAGTAAATTTCATAGTTATTGGTATGGGTTTCAACTGTTATGAATAGTAGAAAAGAGGTACAAAGGCAGTAAAAGTCTGAAAAGAATAATGACAATGGGAACCATTGCTTGGTGAATGCACAAGACTATTTTACCCAACAAAAAACAAAGGGTAAATTACATAGTAACCTCTCAGGTTTGAGATCTATTACAACCTCATACAACATCTTTAAAACATTTCACTTTCATACATTTACTTATCATTTTATTTCAATTTCATACATCCGTTAGAAAATCTGTTAACTAAACCGTTAAATGATGACGTGACTGCCACATTTGTGCCACGTGGCTGCCATATTTGTGTCATGTGGCCAAACAATTAATAAAAAAATTAAAAAAAACACAAAACCCCCCCTTCTTCCACCCGACCCTCCATCTCCTCCAATCTCCATAACCACCAGCTCTCAACTTTCCTCCACTTCCTCTCTTTTCTTTTCTACCCAAACCCCAAAATCCCTCTTTCTTCCAATCCATTCTCAAACCAAAACAAACCCTAATTCCAAAATCCCCAAATCCCTAATTCCAAAATCCCCAAAATCCCCAAATCCCATTTTGTACGTGACTTGCCCATATCCAATTTCATAGTATCAAAATCTCCAAACAAAACAAATAAAAAATCTAATCGGAAATGAGCGGCGGAGATGAACCTCAATGCCCTCGGCGGTGGAAGCGGTGGCTGCACCATCACCCATCCCCCCATCACCCATCCCACCCCACCCCCACCTTCTCCCACCCCAAAAAGCCAAATTATTTGTAATCAACCAAAAAAGCTGGGTTTTGGGTACAAGGAGGAGCAGAAAGGAATTCTGGGTATCAATGGCGAGGATGAGGAGGACGAGGAAGCCGACAAAGATGAGATTGTAGCAGAACATGAGGATGGCGAAGGAGAACGTGGGTGAAGAGGGAGTAGGTGAGGATGGTGAATGAGAGAGGGAATATAAGGGTTAGGGTTATGAGGTAGAAGGTTTTGGGGGACTGTTTGGGGATGAAGGTGGATTCTCTGTGGATGTCAGAGATGGTGAGAAATTGGAGCTCCTATGGGGCCATATCCATTTGGATTTGGAGGGTCTGTTTGGACGAAAAGAAAAGAAAAGTTGGGTTTTTGATTGATGGGGTGTTTGAGTTTTAGAAAGAGAGAGGTAGTGAGCCCAAGATCTTATTTTTAGGAGATGAGGACAGGAAAAAGGGGGAGGTGGTGGGTTTTTTGGACACACTGGTGGGGAGAAGGGGGTGGGAGAATGGGTGGGTGATGGGGGTGGGCACAGGTGAGGAATCTGGGGAAGAAGGGGAGGGAGGTGGTTGGGGAGGCTCTTGAGGGGTTGCCGGAAGGTGGGGTGGGTTCTGGGTTTTTCAGTTTTTTTTTTTTAATTTTTTTATTAAGAAGATTCAGGTTTTTTTAAAAACAAAATTATAAAATTATTATTTTTGCCAAATGGCACACAGGTGTCAGCCACGTGGTACAAATGTGTCAGTCACGTCAGCTTTTAACGGATTAATAGATGAAAAATGTAACGGAAGTACTATATTTAAATAAAATAGTAGGTAAGGTATGAAAATGAAATGTTTTAAAGATATTGTATGAGATTGTAATAAATCTCAAATATGAGGAGTTAAGTATGTAATTCACCTGAAAACAAAAGAAAGAGAAATAATACTCGCTACAAGAATGACGGTATGTTCGGAATTTTGAATTGGTTTGTGCCAACGTGGATCGCGGACCGTGTTTTACGGCGGGCATGATTAAATGAGCCAATCAAATTGAACACTAAATTGGTCTTTTCACGTTGATCGACGAGTGTCGGAATTTTAGGGGCTGTGCTTTGGAATGGTCTTTGATTTTGTACGTAGGGAACTGTGAACCACATGCGCATCGTACTGTGTGATCGTATGATTTACCGGTCAAAAAGTACGTACGGTGCAGATCTTGCCGTCGACCAAAGAGCAAAATCCAAGGAAAAAAGCCAAGTTTGGTGGCTAAATGCAAGTTTAGTGAACTATAAGTCGAATTTAGCAACTCTGTTCTCGAGAAATGCTGAGATTACTTTCTCAAAAGTAAATTTTTTTGTGAACTTTTTATTATCTTATATTTTTTTCAAAATATTTTATAATGTTGACATGAAAATTAACGTTAAGTTGTAAAATGACAGATTGTTTATATTGACACAAGAATTAACTCTAAAGTCTCACTTTGAGAGAGTTTCCTTAGCATGTTCCTCTCTTCTGTTAATTTTATAAGTATTCTAAGCTATGAGTCTAGGAAAAGAGGATCAAACTCGACCCAAACTTGAATAAGGAGTCAGACACACAACGCCGACTTACAGACCTAACTGACCTTTGCATCACAGTTTACACTTGTTCACTAAATTTGGAACTTAGTTTTATCCTTATGAAGTGATGCAGTGCACGCCTAGAACGCGCATGCTCATCTAGTGGATAACAAAAGGCCAAGAGTAAGGCCAAAGGATGACACAGTGGCATATGTTAAACCTAAGGTTTTTGGGGAGTTAAATATTCCCTACTGCCCATTCTTATTTTGCTTTCAGCATTTACGACCAATTGGGCAAAATTCAAATTTTTGAAAGAACCGAAATTAACTAACCCATTAACTACCAAAAGAAATATAAAGAATTTGGGGCAATAAGTCAATTTCAAGTGAGCTCTTTCCACATGGTCAGTAAATAGATTGTTTGGATTTTCTATGGTCCTATTAAACATGTGATACTTCGAAATTTTTTACTTTTGATATTGAAGAAGTTCGAAATACCATAGAATTTTGATCGATAGAAACCATATACATTCTGCGAAAGCAATTAAAACTCAGACCAAAATCCAACTCACTTGTACCACAGGTGTGACCCGCAAGATTGGGAAAGGTCACAAAAAGCTTTAAAGAAAAAAGAAAAGTAGTCTAATTTATTTCATACGAAAAGAAATTAAATCAGAAGAAAAAAAAAAGGAAAAAAGAAACACTCACACAACCAATTCCAGTACAATTATATTGGAGAGAAAAGTGGTCTAAGTAGAAATTTTGGAAACCACATTTCATTGGGTTAAAAAGTTACAACTATTGTTTTTCGACGTGAGTTAGGTCAATTAGTTTTCTAAACTCATAGTCGAATCTCACTTTACATAGATGTAAAAATATAGTAACTCATTTTGTAAAAAAATGTTCCAATACTTCCAAATCCAAGACTATTACTTTCAAATGGATAAACTAAATAACCAAACCTAAAAATAGAGCAAGGAAAACAGAGAACAAAAACAGAGCATAAAAAACAGAGACGTGAGCTTTACTAACCTACGGTAGGAAACAGGGACGATCCCAGCTCTGTACTCGGCAATCTTGAGGAACATGGGCATGGCGAGGTCGAAGTGGGGCCTAGGAGGGTTGCACCATCCGCCATTGTCGCTTGGTTGGGCAAAATTGGGAGGGCAAAAGTTAGTGGCGGTGATGAAAATAGATGGACTTCCAGAGTGGCACCAGCTGGGGTCGTCTGCACACTTGAGCTCAAAGCAGGCTCCGCAGCTGAGGCCATTGTTAAACAGCGCTGTGCTCAGTGCCGCCGTGTTAACTCCGTACCCTTGGCTGTATAGATTTCCGTATCCACAAGCCCCACCTGAAAAATTCAAGTGTTGTAGTTAATTAATTGATAATTGATAATTGAGCTTGATTAAGTTCATGGTTTTAGATCTTTGATGGGTTTTGTTGGATTGCGCTACAGTATCTCAACTCAATAATGCAACATTACGTGTAAAAATCATAATGCATGCAGCACGTGATTAGGATACTGACGCAATGACATTTCTAGTGCATGTAAGTTTCTCCGCTTTAAAGGAATGTGGCATTGTTGTGCACATTAAGAAAAATGAAAAGTTCAGGCAAATGGTGAAGAGTTTGAAGGGGAAATGTAGGGTTTTGGTGACGTACCCATGGTTCCGGAGGCGTCGGAGCCACCGTAGAAGGTGGCTGTTGCCATGGTGTATTTTGTTCATAGTGTTGTAGGCCTTGCAAGGCTTGCTGTCAGTTTTTAACTTTTTATTTAAAAGACGATTTGCATCTCGACCTGCCTGAGGTACATTTACATTCACACTTTCTTTTGTTTTTCAGAACTGGTTGCTTTACATTTGTAGCTGTAGTTATTAAAAACGGCATTCTTGATGAATTGTGAACTTAAATTGACGTCGGTATGCACTGATTGGTATAGAATTTGCTTTGAGGATTCTGATTAGTATGAAAATGGTGCTAACCGGGGTACGATAATGGGATTCTAGCTTGAATTAATGACGTGGGATGTTGTTTTTCTTTGATAAGTGAATTGTTTGTCCTTCGTGTTTATAGTTTTGGTTTCTAACAAATTTATATGTGAAAGATCTCCCTCAGGTAGTCGCGCTCTCATTTTCAATTTTGATGTCCTTGAAGACTCAATGATGCTATCTTTGAACCTATTTTTGTTTGTTTTCCTAATTTTTTGGCCATTTTGTAGGCGAACTGCTATATAGTGACTAATAGAAGTAGAAAAGAAGATAAAACGGGTTGAAATTTGGCTAATGTTGCCAATATAGATGTTTTGCAAGTGGCTGGGTTTTGCTTGGTTTAAAGGTCTTAATGCTTTTTTTTTTTTTAACTAGTCTATTGTTTTTGTTAATTTAGGGTTATTACAATTTGCAAGTTACTCTTGAATTATCAAGCTTTCATTCAAAAAACAATGAATTGAGGTATATTTGATACGTATGCTATTTTTCACTATAGTGAATCGTACATACCAATTAAATTCTGGGCGGCGAATCTCCACTAGTGATGAAATTGTGGTTCTATGTTTAACTTCTTCAGGTGTGTCCTCTGTATATTTCTATAATTTCAATTTCTCAAATTGCTATTGTTTATTAGATTTTACTGTCGATCTGATTACTATTGTTTATGGTTTATAAAAAATTAAAATAAAAAATAAAAAATCTTTGTCTATATTATTGGTTTGGTTCTATAGTATTGGTTTGGTTAATCTTGTATGGTATATATTTGCATAACTATATGTAGTGGCTTTATAGTAGGTTCATAATCTAATCTTGTGTTTATCTTTTCTCAAAGGACTCCTCTTATTATAATTTTGTCAAGAGTTCAATTGCAAAGGAATGCATGACTAGAAAGGTTTAGAGGCAGAAATTGTACATGAAATGCTAGTGTTAGAGGTAGAACGGTTGAGAGGAATATCTATAGAGGTAGAACGGTTGAGAGGAATATCTATAAACTTGATGATTGTAATTTTAGTTTTGTATTTACTAGAAAATAAGCCCGCGCATTGCGGCGGGAACCACTATTTCAGGCATAACTGCATGAATAAGACACATTTAACCTAAAGAAATTCAACACAATCATCAATGAACAGAAGGACACATGAGTGAATGAGGTCGATAAGATAAGCAGCTTGACTTTTACATGAATTCAACTGAACATTGCACAATTAGCAGCTTGGCTTTGAGAGGGGGGAAGGAACAATCATGTGAAATTTACAATTTATATGGTGAGACTTGCATAATCCACTCGATCATTGTCGTTCCTATACATTCTTCATAAATTATATGAAAATTATGGGGAAAATAAATTACATGCATACATGAAATAAAATTGTATCACAATAGAATTATATTATGAACAAAATAAGGATAGATTGTGTTTACCTAGTGTTTTTCTGCTAGGAAAGAAGTCTGGTTTTGCATTAGTTGGAAATGACCTTTTTTCTGGCAATTTTATAGGATGTCATCAATTTTTTGCACGTTTCTCTGTGAAATGTACATTAGATAAGAGTTTGATTAAACAACAACAACAAACATATAAAAAAATATTGTTTAGTATGGTGTAAACACAAAATTACATGTGTATCAATTGGGATAGCAAAAGCTTTACAAATGAGATTGCAATTGAAGGTTAAACCCTTCAATCGTCATCTACGTTCACAGAATGTAAACTGATTGGTATGTTTAAGCAGTGATGATGATAATTTTGGTCTAGCATAGTTAGCAATATGTGTAGTACATGTATTACCCTAATTGTATCTTAATTATTAATCATTATATGACTAAAATCTCTCCTCAAGCTTGTAAAGAAGCTTGAGTTTAAATTCATTTTCCTACTTTGAACAAAACTTTACCCATATACCTCAAATAATTGAAATCATACAAAAACCAAGCATCCTAGTAGCTAGCTAGTACATGAAATCGTGGTTTCACTGATTATATTAAAAATATTAAGAAACTTTTTAGATACGAACACAAATAAAGTTCGAAAAATCACTTACTGAATGCCCAAGATAGAGATCTTTATTTCCAGCAACCTTTCCAATCCTGGCTAGCCATCTTCCATGTTGATGACATCTGCTACACAGAGAAGAAACAAAACAAAGAGATTTTAGAGATTTTTATTTGGTATATATATTATTTCTCATCGATATTTTATTTAAATTATTATATAAAATTATGAATAGCTAATAAGACCTTGTAATTCTTCTGTCAATTGAAGCCCCTCTTGAGAATCCACTGCTTTTCCTGTAAAGACCACATTATGTTAGTAATAGATTAGCATTTAAACGCTGTTGTATATATAAATCTATCGAATGCATGATTAGTTGCATGAACTAAAACAACATGGATTGACAGTTAAAATTGTCAGCCAAATTATATGTGAAAAAATGCTTACCCAAGTAAACTGAAGATTCATCATTTGATTGTAATTCCCCAGCTAATCAAAGAAAAACAAAAATTTTAAAAATAAAATCAGCATATGGTATGGAAAATAGTCGGAACAAAAGCAGAATTTGACTGGAAAATAGAAATCTGCCTCTTTAGAAAATCTTTAGACAAAGAACGTGCAACAAACCTACTTACTTTTAATTTCAAACACACTCTGAGATTTAAAAGATATCAAATAGAAGATATTATTAAAATGGAAAACGTATTCCAGAATGCATGGGGAAACTGTAAATGTAACAAAAACTGTGATGGTGGAATGGAGTAAATATGTGAAAGTGCAACAAAAGGGTTTAACTGATGACCAGTCATTTATACTTGATAATGTTCTGAATTGTCAGCTGGATAAAGCTGTTAAAATGTGTTTTGGAATCGGTCCTCTCACAGCATGTTTATCTACGCTATTATTTTTTTAACTTCCTTTTACTCAGAATTATGTTTCAGTGTACTTTTGATGGCATGAAGATTTCTGCCAGCACACCAACTTAAGACGTAACAATCACAGATTCTAGTGTTATTGTGGTCGTATATATTAAAGGGACGTTATAATTAGATAGCTAGATTTAATCCCAATGTGCAAAAAAAAAAACATGTAAGAACAGCCATGAAACCAGTGTTAATTAATATACCTCAAAAGTCAAAGGGCCAGTGTGAGATTTCAAACATGGAGATTTACTTCATTTTAAAAAGCTCCTAAATACATTGGGAACTGTTAAAAGCATGAACTACAAATCTGTAAAAAAAAGAGGCTTCCACATAAGTTTAAACTATCAACTCTCAAGTTAGCATTGTTACTGTTTTTGAGTTGGATGTTGGCTTCCTAACATGGTATTAAAAGGGATTTATAAGTGTGTGCATTGTTAAATTACCCAACACCATGTGTTAACCAAGTAATTTATAGCTAAAGAGCAAGATATGCCACACAAAACCTGTATTTAGATGCCAATCACTAAAAGCTAATAAAAATTCCTAATCTAACCATCCCTATACTAACAGTTTGGAGAAGGATCAGAACTTCTTGTCCAAAGTTGTGTTCATTTTATTTTAATTGTCCATCAGAGCTTAAGAAGAATGATTAAATAAAGACAATGGCATGCCAAAGAAAAAATAGCCGCCTTTTAAACTTCAGTAATCCATATTCTTGTTGTGGTTTTTGTTTTTTCTAAAGACTAGACTAAGATAATGGTCAACACCAACATCCTATGTGTTCAGATAATCGCGAAGACTAAAATATAAGCTCACAAATATAATCCTAACACAATCAGATCATTGCCAACAAAAAATATCGATTATTAAAAAATTTAAGTCCATTGAGAAGGTGTAAAAAAGAGTAATGACCATAAAACTAATGATGTCATTCATCAGTCACATAGAGACAAATTGGTTTGTGGGCTTCACATTGAGGGATAAAGGGACTTATCAAAATAGATCCAACTAACCTCCCTATTTAAAAACATAACATGATTTAGGTGATTAAAACTCATTTGAACAATCAGCAAAACTTGAGTGAAAACAATTAACTAATTAACCACTTGCACCCTGCTCACAGTGAAAAGTAATTTCAAATTAATAGCCATATGAATCCAGAATCCAGAATCCAGATTTATTAAGATGGATGATTGGCTGATAAGAATCCAGGGCACAGATGAAACCTTGCTAAACTTGGCATTTGGTAATTCAAACAATTAAATGAAAGAACAAAATTATGTCCAATCATTCCCAAACAACCACTTTTGCCATAATTTTCTTCTTTCATTCAATTGGTTGAATGACCAAATGGCTAGTTTGCCACAGTTTCATCTGTTCCCTAGATTCTTGTAAAACATGAAGTTTAAAGAAACATGAAGCTTTAAAGTAACAGAAGCATAAATGAAAAACCTTGGAATAAACTGAACTTAAACGTAAAATGGCAATTGGGTTAACAAATCTTGGAATTAAACTAAATCACAAAATGAAAAGGACCTCCAATAAATTGACATTTTATATTTTTGGCTGGCAAAAAAATATGTATCTTTGCTGGAACATGTAAATAAAAATGCAAATTGACAAAAACATTGAAATTGAAATGCACAAAAGCAAAGCAAATTAGAAAACCTTAAACCAAATGACAGCCTAGAAATGGAACTGTTTTTAATCATTTAGGTTCAAATGATTGGCTGGAGAAAGGGGCATTCTTTGAATTTACATGATAAAAAACAGAACATAATTTAGGGGTCCAAAAACTGAAACTGAGAAAAAAAAATTGAGAAAAACAATTAAATTGAAATAACAATGATACTCCCAAAAAAATTGGCAACCTTAGCGTATTAGATACCCCAAAAAACAAAAATAACAAAGACCAATTAAAGAAGGAGTTCAAAATTTTAGAATAGGCAGATCAAACGTCTAGATGCATTTGGCTGTTGCCATCTAAAATTTTCCAACTGAAAAAAAAAAAAAACACACTAAAACCAGTTACACAACTGTAGAGCACAATTTTTAAGGGTGCCACTGCAATTGAAATAACTTCTAGATACAATGCGAGAAAAAAAATTACGGTAATTTGACATGAGAAAAGAAACCACATGATTCGAAATAACCCATTGGTAAGCTAAGTTATAAAATGGTAAAAGCGATGAAATATACCTAACACCCTGCTTGCTGTGAGCTATAACATCCAAGTTCCACTATGTAACCCTCTGCATAGCTGTGTAACCTCTGGTAGCGAAACCACTGAGAAGGTTAAGAGCTCTGATCAGAGAAGGCAAACCAAAATCATTAGTTAGACAACTGCGCACACACACAGAGACACACATGCCTTTCACAGAATGGGAATCCAGGTAAAACAAAAAAAAAAACAAAAAATCGTTAATAGTTACATTTAGCTTAAGTGCTTGATAATGTTCTGAATTATTAGCTGGATAAAGCTGTTAAAACGTGTTTTGGAATCGGTCCTCTCACAGCATGTTAATCTACGCTATTCTTGTTTAACTTCCTTTTATTTAGAATTATGTTTTAGTGTAGTTTTGATGGTATGAAGATTTTTTCAAGCACACCAACTTAAGACGTAACAATCACACATTCTAGTGTTATTATGGTCGTATATATTAAAAGGACGTTATAATTAGATAACTAGATTTAATCCCAATGTGCAAAAAAACATGTAAGAACAGCCATGAAACCAGTGTTAATTAATATACCTCAAAAGTCAAAGGGCCAGTGTGAGATTTCAAACATGGAGATTTACTTCATTTTAAAAAAACTCCTAAATACATTGATAACTGTTAAAAGCATGAACTACAAATATGTAAAGAAAAAAGGCTTGCAAATAAGTTTAAACGATCAACTCTCAACTTAGCATTGTTACTGTTTTTGAGTTGGATGTTGGCTTCCTAACATGGTATTAAAAGGGATTTATAAGTGTGTGCATTGTTAAATCACCCAACACCATGTGTTAACCAAGTAATTTATAGCTAAAGAGCAAGACATGCCACACAAAACCTTTATTTAGATGCCAATCACTAAAAGCTAATAAAAATTCCTAATCTAACCATCCCTATACTAACAGTTTGGAGAAGGATCAGAACTTCTTGTCCAAATTTGTGTTCATTTTATTTCAATTGTCCATCAGAGCTTAAGTGAAGAATGATTAAATAAAGACAATGGCATGCCAAAGAAAAAATACCCGCCTTCTAAACTTCAGAAATGCATAGGCTTGTTGTGGTTTTTGTTTTTTCTAAAGACCAGACTAAGAGAATGGTCAACACCAACATCCTATGTAATCAAATGATTGAAAAGACTAAAATATAAGCTCACAAATATATCCTAACACAATCAGATCATTGCCAACAAAAAATATCCATTATTAAAAACATAAGTGCATTGAGAAGGTGTAAAAAAGAGTAACGACCATAAAACTAATGATTTCATTCATCAGTCACATAGAGACAAATTGGTTTGTGGGCTTCACATTGAGGGATAAAGGGACTTATCAAAATAGATCCCACTAACTTCCCTATTTAAAAACACAACATGATTTAGGTGATTAAAACTCATTTGAACAATCATGAAAAGTTGAGTGAAAACAATTAACTAATTAACCACTTGCACCCTGCTCACAGTGAAAAGCAATTTCAAATCAACAGCCATATGAATCCAGATTCCAGATTCATTAAGAAGGATGATTGGCTGATAAGAATCCAGGGCACAGATGAAACCTTGCTAAATTTGGCATTTGGTAATTCAAACAATTAAATGAAAGAACAAAATTAAGTCCAATCATTCCCAAACAACCACTTTTGCCATAATTTTCTTCTTTCATTCAATTGTTTCAATGACCAAATGGCTAGTTTGCCATGGTTTCATCTGTGCCCCAGATTCTTGTATAACATGAAGTTTAAAGAAACATGAAGCTTTAAAGTAACAAAAGCATAAATGAAGTAAAATGGCAATTGGGTTAACAAATCTTGGAATTAAACTAAATCACAAAATGAAAAGCACCTCCAATAAATTGACATTTTATATTTTTGGCTGGCAAAAAAATATGTATCTTTGATGGAATATGCAAATAAAAATGCAAATTGACAAAAACACTGAAATTGAAATGCACAAAAGCAAAGCAAATTAGAAAACCTTAAACCAAATGACAACCTAGAAATGGAAGCAAATGTGAACTGTTTTTAATCATTTAGGTTCAAATGATTGGCTGGAGAAAGGGCCATTCTTTGAATTTACATGATACAAAACAAAACATAATTTAGGTGTTCAAATAATCGAAATTGAGAAAAACAAATTACAAAAAAAAATTGAAAAAAAACAATTAAATTGAAATGCACAGAACAAAACAAATTGAGAAAAACACTTAAATTTCTTTATGCACAGAAGCAAAGCCAAGCAGAAAAGCTTAAACCAAATCACAGCCTGGAAATGTCAGGGCTTCAAAGCATAGACATAGTCTAAATCTAATCTAATCAAACGAAATTAAAGCTAATTAAAAGATGACTACATTCAAACATTTCACAAATGAAAGGGAGGGGGAAGGCAGATTATAGCACCGCGAATGAACATACGAAGCAAGAGGCAACAAAGGTTAATCTCACATGTTAAAAAATTTTAAAATCACACTATCTGAAACGGAAAGCATGGGGAAACAATGTATCGAAGTTCAGGACATACCAAAGCCTTGATCAAAAGGTAAGTCTCAAAACATCAATTTTCACATTGTCCCCTACAGTTGACCAAAGATAAACGCACAAATTTCCAAACAAAGCAAAGAAATCGAAATTTTGTGATCAAAACTAACTAACGAATCATATCGAGACATCTTTGCTTGGTGTGCGGCGATGCTCTAACCCACTATGGGTTTTAAATTATTCTATCCAGTTACAGTAATGGGGTTTCACTGCCAGTTGACGACAAACAGAAAAACCAAATTTAATAAAAAGGTTCATCCAAGAACAGAAAATGTGAAAAAAAAATAAGGGGAAAAAAGGAGAACCCCAACCTATATACCTGAAGCAGAGCCACAGTGAAAAGAACAGCACAGGAGCAACCAAAATTGCGTGTTATGTACTTGGAATTTAAGAGCATTATGTAAAAGATAAAAAATAAATAAAATAAAATAAAAAAGCACATATCTATCATGATCTCTGCATACCCGCTGTTGTCTTTATCGAAGTGTTAGAAGGTAGTGTAGAGATGTTCTCTATCCATCCAGTTCAAGTGCATTGTTGCTGCGATGAACTCATCATAGTCTATGGTTTCGTTGCCACCAGCATCAGCCTAATGAAAAGACATTCATTAGAACTAATGTACGTAAGCACCAAAGAAATACAGAGAGAGAGAAGGAACCTGCTCGTAATGGCAGAGAAGGGTTGAGTAGTGTTTCCTCAGCACAAATGAAGCACTTGTTGTGTTGGGGAGAACATGAAAACACCTCCCACTTCCCTCCATTTCTTCTCTGCAACTATCTACACACACACACACACACACACACACACACACACACACACACACACATATAATTAAGTACATATGATTTCCTTTTATCTTTCATTTTAAAAATTGAAAAATTAATAATTCATATTTAATTTAGTGAAATGAAGAACTACAGATAAAATAGATAGCTCAACCTTCTCAAAGCCACCCCTCCTTGTTGCCTCCACATGTAAATGCTCCCCTCTTGAATTCACAAATATAAACAGCAATTTATATGGAATCAAAGACCCATACTTTATAATTACACTAAAAGTTTAACACCTTTAAATATTCTATACAAAAATAAATAATAAATCTCATAAATGCATATCAGTCCAAGGTCTCAAGTCCTCAGAGTGGGGAATTAGTGATTAGAACATTTAATTATTTGCTCCTTTTTGGGTATGAAATAATTAGCACAGTAGCCATAATACCAAACAAAAGCTCAATAATTTATGCAATTTGGTCAAAATTTATACAATTTCAAGCAAAACCCAAGACTCAATAATACAAAAGGAACCCAATAAATGATTGAAGCAATATATACACAACTTATGCAGGTCCAAAGAAACCCATTTGATCAAACTTACTGAATACGGAAAAAAAAATTACAATCGAAGTATGGATTAATAATTACCTCAACAGCTAACGGAGCCAAAGCCAAACCCTAGAGATTCGAAGGGCAGAGACAATCACAGAGGCAGGAAAAGACCTTCTTCTTTCCCACTGCTGCTGCTGCCACCTTCTCTCTCTAAAAACCAATTGGGAAATTTGGAAATATAACCATTTTGAGAACCATCTAATGAAATATAGCCTATCTTTTGTGAATCTTATAAAACTAGCCAAAATTGAAGTTAAAAAGACTTAATTACCCGTATGTCAAAACTCTCTCTTCTTCTCCTGCCTCTGGAGCTCTAGTGTTTGTTTTTTTAACTCTTCATCTCTATTCCAATTGTTGAAACACTACCACCACACTTCTCTATACTCAAAGGCAATTGAACCAAGTGATTACTACATCAAACAAACAATTGTTGGTTTTTGTATTGATCTTAAATTTGTTGTTAGGTTTCTTGGGTAGCAGTGGAACATCAGAGTACATTACTCTCAAACACCCCTCTTTGGAACCGACCTTCTATGCTGGGTTTCTCGAATGTCTCTCTTATTTTGTTTTTGATGTTTTTTTTTCTTTTTCAAAACAAATCTGATTACATCTAAAGCTTATTTGGTGCTTTTCTAAGAAAAAAAATAAACGGGTTTATTGTTCTGATTTTATTTAATTGTATAAATTGCGGGTTAATTAATTTGTTAGGACCAAGAATGTTAAAGGTATGAATCTGGCAATTTTTTTTTTTACGAATTGAAGAATACAAAGGGCATGGTTTAAGCAAGTTGTATTGGAGGACGCAAGACCCAGGGGAGGAAAAGATAAGGAAAGGTATTCATGCATTAGTGTTTAATATTGATCAAATAGTACATGAAATGTGTGGCAAGTATGCTGGGAAGAGAAACACAGATGGAATTTGGGGATGCAAGGATTTTAGTAATTAAGGGTATATTCATAAATTCATTCAACTTTTGGTTATAATTATCAACAATTTAAAAGGGTGGTTATAATTCTATACAAGAACCAAATTTTGGTTATTTTTCCAAATTTCCCAAACCAATTGGAAATTGTTTAGAGAGAGACAGAGAGGGTGATGATGATTGGACGCAAAGTCCCAAATTGAAAACAAAAAGGAGGAGTGTAGGGGTGGTTTACCGAGGTCGGGAGCAGTGAGTCTCGTAACAGAAGCCGATAAACAGTGGCAGGAGCCACTGCACAGTGAAAGGCCTTCGCATGTGTGTCCTGAGCAGAACGGAGTGAGTGGTGGTGGTTCTGTGGTGATGTTTTGCCGGAAAATGGAGGGGTTGGTGGTTCTGTGGTCTCGCTCGCCGACTCTCCCCTCTCTCACTCTCACTTTCGCCTCGCTCTCTCTCTCCTCTCCTCTCCCTCTCCCTCGCGCTCTCCCTCTCCCTCTCCCTCTCCCTCTCCCTCGAATCGTACACCTCATGTGGCTCTGTCTGCCTGCAAGCCGCATGCTTTCCTCTCACCAAATCCCTATCTCTCTCCCTCCCTGTCTATCTTCTCTCTCTGCTCGCTCGCTCTCTCTCTCTCGCGACTGCTTGGTCTCACCGAGTCCCACTGCAGCTCATCAGAAAGAAAGGTAATGAAAGTCTCTAACCGACCCAACCCGTTCGAAACCCTACAGACTAAAATGACCATCGCACCCCTGCCTTTCCACGATAATCAACACGCGGCATGAAGATCAGCGGCAGAGATAATTAATGGCAGCTTCGTAAATAAAGTGAAATTCGGGTTCAAATACTATTCATTTGTACAGTGCAATTGAAAAGCCTTCTTTAGACTAAAGTAATTTCATTCTTGCATTGCTAATTTTGCACTACATGCTCAGTTAGTTATATATACATGTTCGAGTCTTTACTGGTTAATTTTTGGCTTCTTGTGTGGATTGTTGGAGACATTTTTATCTGTTCAAGTCTTTTGATATAAAAGTATCAATGTATAAGTTTTGTATAATTGTATCGCTATGCTGTTAAGTATTTTGATTTAAGTTGTTTTCTTTCTAAAAGGTGGAATAAAATAACCTGGGTTAACTTTTTCTTCAGGTTTTGTATATCCATTCACTTTTCTTGATTGAGACCAAATGTATATTTCCACCTATACCAATAAAAGATTTTTTTCTTGTGATTCATATGCTTATGTCCACGCAAATAGAGAGAGGCAGCGATTGCTAAGGCTCAAGTATTAGGGGCAGTAGTTCACTCTCAAGGTCCTTTGTTTCAAGGTGTTCAAAGAAATATGTAGTCTTCATGTGTCCTTGTTATTGGAGGCCTATTTGATGCTTTGTGGATACTAGAAGAAAAAAGCTCATCAACCACGGTGAATGCCTGTGGTAGATTGCAATCCACCACGGACATGGTGCCCGTAGTAATCTGGATGTGATAAAAAATCTTGATTTCTACCACAAGCTATGGCCGTTGTGGATTATACATTAACCACAGCCAATGCCAGTTATAAAAAATTTCCAAAACATTTACTGCAATATAATAATTTACATAAAATCACATATTGAAATATTACAAGTTGTACACTAAAGCTAACTATAGAACCAATGAGTTATACTGAGAAATAAGAAACTATCCATGAGGGTACCAAACAGAACATTGTCACTTGAAGATTTTACATTTCTTTGAACACCTCCAAAGAAAAGACTTCGAGAGTGAAATATTGCACCTAATGCTTGAGCTTCAGCAATTGTTGTCTCTCTATTTGCATAGACATAAGCATCTGCATAGTCTCCAACAGTCCACACATGAAGCCAAAAATGAACCTGTAAAGACTTGCACAAATATACAAAATTAACTCCAACAAGAGCATGTAGTGCAAAATTAGCATTGCATATGCAGAGAATTGAGCAAATGCAGCCAAGAACTTACTTACAATCATCAAGTTTCTAGATATTCTTCTCAACCGCACTACCTCTAAAACTAGCATTTTATGTACAATTTCTGCCTCTAAACCTTTCTACGCATGTATTCCTTTGCAATTGAACTCTTGACAAATTATAATGGAGAGCACTTTAAGAAAAGATAAACACATGATTAGATTATGAACCTACTAAATAGAGCCACTACATATATTTCTGCAAATATATACTATATAAGATTAACCAAACCAATCCGATAAACCAAATCAATCATTAGCCCAAAAATTAATATCAAATGTTTACCCTGTCTGAAAGTCCTTTGCACAAATATAACTGGAAACTGCGCTTAAGAATGAAACATCACTCAAAATTTATCTCAAACATCAGTATTTCATCTCAGGGTGTTTCCTGAAAGAAAAATCGACATGTCTAACGTTGAATCTAGAGATCTCTGATAGGGATTTTACTACACATGTGAACGAGCTAAAAACTCTTATAATACTTGCAAGAATGACAAGGTTATTGTAGTATAAACGGATCTCGCAAGGTCGTTCTCCACATGAATTATTAAATAATTTGAAACAAACCAAATTCCAATTAATTATTGTAAAGTAGAAATTGAGATGATTGATTTTATAAACTACTTAAATTAAAAATGAATTTAATGAATAAAGTAAACTAATTTGCAATATTAAAGATGAAAGAAAAGAAAACAGTTTTGGGAGAAATCAAATTAAGAAAGCACAAGGGTTCCACCATCACCTAGCAATCCTATGAACCTTTACCAATTACTTATGATCTACACATGCCACTTTGAAGGTTAGATTTTCCTAATTCATATTCTACTTGAAACGTCCAATAAAGAACGGATATCTAACATGCAACCCGTCCAGACATTCGGATCAAATCTAAACATGTAAAACTCATTATGTTTTATGAAAATCCTTTGAAAAACCATGCAACCCTTAAGACGTGGTGTTCATCTTAAGTGAAATTACAACTATTAATCACAAAAAGCCAGCGTCAATTTCAGGGAACCTTCCGACCAAAATTGTATCAAAATACTTTTCTAAAGATCGTAATGGTGATCAGGCATTAAGACAATTAGATAGTTTTAATCCCGGTGATTAATAATTCAAAGTATGCATGCAATCAATCATAAGCAATTAAATAAAAATCACATATTCATGCTAAGGCTCAAAGCTTTGCCCTAGCAAAAGGAAGCAGTTACTCATATTCATAATTGAAATCATAAAAAATATTATTAAGAAAAGGATTGAAAACATCTTAAAGTAAAAAATCTCCAAGAACCCTAGCAATTTTCTCTGTCTCCAAAGTTGCATAAAAGAAAGCGTGTCCCCAAAAATAGGAAAACCTTTTTAAACTCCTCTGGCCATCGTACAAACCCCTAGTCTTTTTTTCTTCCAATTAGACAACTAAATAATAAAATAAAATAACTTAGAAAATAGAATCCTAACTAAGTTAGGAGAATCTGCACAGAAACTGTACAGCCACATTTTAGCCTCAAATCTCCTCCAAATCTGGCCCAAGATAGCTTGTTTTAAAGATCAGGACGTTCTCAACACATCTCCAGAAGGCCACGAAACCATCCGAGGTCATCTTGGGCTCCAAAAACGCAATTTAAGCCCAAAAACGTCATTTTCCAGCACCGCGTATCGCTCCTTTATTTTTTTGCCAGAAAATAACTGCTTGGTGGAAAAATCCAAAATTTTGATATGATCAAGCTAAGTGACGCACGAACATCCTCCAACTAGAATTACTCCAAAATTCGTCCATTTGGTCCTGTTTTGCTCCAGAGGAAGTCGAAAATCCTATATTGAAAATACAATTCAAAGTATCAAAATTCTTCCAAAATATTAACCAAAATATACTAAAAATAGGGTAAAATATATAATATAAATTCTACTCATCAATCTCATATGGGGATTTAGTACTTGAAACAATGTAGAGAATTGAAATATCTCATCACAAGACCATTAAGCTTGGCCGAACACAATCATGCAGACATACATACCCTATTTGGCATGGATTTCCATCCACCAACAGTTAGATTAAAGTCCCAGTTGAAATTACTCTTAGTAGATTGATCAGTCAATTAACTGGAACCCATTTGATTCTTCCTAGCTAATGAAACAGTAAAAAAGGGTTGTAAAACAAACAAAACGACTAGTAATTACTACTGAACCTGCAGAAGAAAAAAAACCCCAGAATTTTAATCATCATACATAACTAAATGTTGTTCTTTATACCAATTTATAAAATCATTGACCAATTTCTAGAACAAACATTATGAATAAATCAATACGATAATTAGGAAAATATCAAACAAGAGGATAAACTAAAAATTAAGAAAAATAACTGAAAAATAACTTTTACCTGATAGATCGAGAAGAGGAGTGTGTTCTGAGATAGTGAGCTCAGTGTTATCCAAGAGAAGCTAGGCTATGAATCCTCTTTCCGCCATTAATGGTGGACATTCGCCGACCATAATTCAGTCGATCTCGAAGATCGATTTCCATTTCGACTGACAACGGCGATTGTGCCAAAGCCGCCACCTCCTCTGAAATCTCATCCACCGAGACATACGCCAGAAAGATCTAATGCTCTCTAGTTGGAGAAGACAAAGATCCAGTATTGGGAGTACCTGAGATGCTCAAAGAAATAGAAAAATTAGGGTTCACATAGTATATGCAAACAAGGCAAAGAAAAATGTACAGGGAGTGAGATTTTGGAGATAGAAATGAGAAGTTTCGGGTCGGGTTGACATATGCGAATGGGGGACACTTGGTGGTTGGCGCCGTCTGATCTGAAAACCGTAGATAAGGTTCGATAAAGAGCAAAGCCTCCGGTTCCAGCTCTATCTTATGGTTCACTGGCCTTCTCGGTGTAAGGGTCTTCGACACTCAGGCATGATATTATATTGATTGATTAAAAAATAAAAAATTGAAATGATAACGTTAACAATTATAGCCCGTTGTAGATTTAAAAAGGCGCTGTTTTAAATTTTTTGCAATCACAGGCTTGTCTCGTGATATTATACATATACTAAAACCCAACAGAAAAAAATCACTGTTCATTAACCATGTTCTCCCATTTCCATCCCTGCTTCGTTTTTGTTATTTCAACTTTGCCCTTCCTTCCTATATCTCGACCCAGCTTTTCTCTAGATGCTTCCCCCACCGTTTCAGACTCTAAACCCACCTTTTCGACTCCTGCTCTCACCGCCTCCCTCCTCGCCTCACTCTTCTCTGCACCAAGCCGCTCGATTTAGGATGGGCTTCACCATTTCTCTTCAATCGAGGTCTCTATTTCTGGATCTTTCTTTTGCTTTCGCCTATTCTCTCTCGCATATCTCCATTTGCTTTGTTTCTGGTCGTCCTTTTTTCTCCGTTTTCGCTTCTGTTTTCTTCATCGTGTTGCTTCGTTGTTCAAAACGCGGACCATTTTACTTAGTTGTTCTTCGATTAGTGGTCACAGTTGTTAATATCTCTGCCTTTTTGGTTCGATTCCAATAATTTTTTGGGTTTTTGGTTCGTTGAATCCGGGTTTTCCAAGTAAGTTTTACATGTATATTACCGCACGGAGTTTCGATTTTCCATGTTTTTTTGGATTTTTTTTGTTAATATCTCATGGGCTTTGCTTTTTGATTTCAGAAATTTTGTGCCCATCTTGGGTTCGCTTCGAACTTGGTTGCGACCGATCTAATCCGGCGTTTCCAGGTGAGTTTTGCATGTTTATCAGCTTATATGGTTTCGATCTTTTGTTTTTCGTTGGATCGTTGTTGTGTGTGTCTGATGTGTTTTGTTTTCCAGATTCGGGAAACAGTCCCTTTCAGATTTTTGGATTTTCGATTCTGATTCTTGGAACTCTTTGTGCTAAAGGTATATAAATGTATTATTTGTTTTTTCCTTTGTTTTCTTTTCGGCTGAATTTTTTTTTTTGTTTTGTTTTGTTTTGGTGATTTGGGACTTTTTTTTGTGCGTCTTTGGGTTGTTAATTGGTGATGCATATTTTCTTGCTGATTTTTGTGCTAGCAATTTTATTTAAATCCATAGCTTCTTCTATTTATTTGATTTGCTGTAATGGTTATGCTTGATTCATAAGATTTAAGGTTGTGGTGATAAAATTGGAAGAGTGATATCTACGCTATTTTGGATTTGTAAAAGTTTTTGTTAAAGTGATGGTAAAATTTCATATGTAGTGTAGGGTCAAGTTTAATAATCATTAATGCGACTTGGTATATGTTTGGTAGAAACGCTATCAAATTGTAGATACACAGTTTGTTGGTGCAGGAGGGGGTTGGAAAATTTTTTCAGTATGTTTTTTATGGTACTTGCCTACTCCTTAATTAATTTTTTTATTAATTCAACTTTAACCACTGATTATTACAATTCTACCATTTTTGCTGGTGAAGGTACAGATAATGGTCTGAACTATGAAGGAAGCTTGCTTTGTGTTGGAAGTACGATGATGTCTTGGGCTCCCATCGAAATCTCTGATATCACTCCTCATAGGTATTTGCTCTGTACCTTTTTCTCCTTTCTTTTTTTCAAATGTATACACGAAAACTTTGGGATGTCAATGATAATGTGTCTACATAATTGTACCACACAATGTACCACTATGTTATTTCGATGCATTTTCTACAAATTTAGGATTTAGATAGAGTAATGATTGAGATAAGGGTATGATGTGGCTGAAATGAACGCAATCCACTTCTTGCCTTCATAATGTGGATGTTGAATGCAAGCACTTTTTTAATTTTATATGCAAACAAAATCAAACCTTCTGTTTGCTTTTGTTTTTTTGCTTGCTTCTGTTTTCAAATTTATTTTAATATAATTTTTGTTTTGGGATTAATTACATGCTTAGAGTTTTAGTAGATTTGGATTAAATTTTGGTTGAACAGATTGTGCGGTTGCAAATCTTGATCTGATGGATATGATTGTCTAAAGAATTCGTGGATTTATCTCATCTAAAATTATTTATATTTTTAAGATTATAAATTGTTTTATGATGCCAAGTTTGGTAGAAAGAAAACGCCGGAGCCGCAGCAGAACGGGCAGTCCACTGCTGGAGCTATGAGTGATGGGAGTAGTGATTCCCGTGTGGCAGCAAATGGGAATATGTGAAGAGAAAACTGACTTGGCCATCTATGAGCAATTTCAATACCAGGTTGTGGATTTGATCTTATCATATGCTACATTGCATTTGACTCATTGCATAGACTTTGTAGAGTTTAGCATTTGATTTTCTTGGATTTTTTACATGTATTTGTTGGAAATGTGCTCTAAAGCCAATCATATGATGATACTTTACGGACATTTCACATGTTAAACTAATCTAGTTTACATATAAAGGGCAAAGATTATTGTTTGAGCCGTCTCATATAAATGTTATATGCTTAAACGATAAAGTCCAAGGAATATGTGATTGGGAGAATGCAATCTAATGAAGTTAGATTAATGAGACCATTCTTTCGTAGACACATCCTAAATGTTCCTGATCATAGGATTGCCAATTGGGCATTGACAGTCCGTTAAGATCAGTACGTACTGTGTCTTCTCTCAGGGAGAGTGACTAGTCTCGAGTCATTGGTGTGTGTGACATCAAGACAAGTACGTAGGTGCTCAATAGCGAATGAGTTCACTGAACGTGATCAACGAAGAGTTCTTATATTCCATGTCACATGAGAACTCATGGTTGGGATAATGCAAAGTAGTCCTTTGACCTGAGGCATCACAGTTGTCTTGTGGTTAAGTCCTTAATCTTTGATTATGTCTAATTCACCCCCTCGGGGTGTCACGGCATCGTTGGGGTTAAGCCACTTAGTCATGGAGACAAGTGAATGCGCAACAAGGGATCTCTAACCTTCAAACAGTTGAGGGAGAATACTCTATGATATGATTTGGAATCTCTGGCCAGAGTATGAATGAGATTGTGGAATGTGTTCCAAATCACATTCAAGGAAATCATATAAGCAAACGATTCACATTGGATAGTAGACATGAACAAATAAACTATCATACCAAACAATGTGGTCAAGAGTATTAGATTAGAGAAAAGACCGTATTGCATTTGTAATCCCGAACTGAATAGGTTCTCTATCCTCTTCTGATTAGCTTGGGTAACCATGACATGCTGCTAGGCGTCAACCATGGTTTGTGGAAGCCCTATACGTGTATAACCACTAAAGGGAGAATTGAAAATTGTTTCAATTCACAATCGATGTAAAATGGTTTTAATCGCCCACTGCCTCGCTAAAAGGAACCTAATGGATCGCACACCATAAAAGGTAGAGATTGGAGATTAAACGGAAATGAGTAAGAATGATTAAATGGTTTAATCATTTATTTATGGCAAGGATTAATTAATATGTTAATTAATCAAACGAATAAGTTCGTTAAAGACTTCGGGATAGTTTTGGACCTTAAGGCCCAATGGGCTTCGAACGTCAAGCCCATTAACTTAAGTTGTATGACAATTAATGAATAAAGATTCATTAAGGCCCAAAAGCCCAAATCTCTCTATATGGCCGGCCATGAAGATGAATTAGGGTTTTTTGGTTGTTTAGGTCACTTAAAGAAGTGACTATATAAATGACTTTATAGCCAAATATTCATTAATGTGATTAAGGGTTTATTTTGGGGGAAAATTGGTGAGAATTGTCTCTCCATTTTCTCTCTAAAGAGGCCAACACCTTGGAGGGTACATCTAGCAATCCTACTACTCCAAGGTCACTCATTTCTTCTACAATCAAACCTTGGTGAAGAGACTTAGAGGTTCCCTATTTTGGGAACTTGGAGAAACCTATTTTTCCATCCAAATCCATGGATCTAAGAAGCAAGGAATGAAGGCCCTATCTCTTTGGGTGATTAGCCTTTGCTTATGCAAAGAGGAATCTACAAAGGTAATAATTTCAACTCACTTTGTTTTGAGTTGATTATTGGTTCACCAATCTACTAGGCTTAATTTCATGGTAATGTTTTGTTTTTGAGTGCATGCAAGCATGATTCCGCCTTTAATTGTTAATTGCATGCTATATGATGTTGCTCAAATGAACATGTTTTTCAAAATAAATCCTTCAGTATTTGCGGTGACACGGGACGAATTCTAGGATGGAGGTGGAAGTATTTGGAAGAATCAGATGTGCCTATTCATTTGCAAGGTGATTGTTTTACAGCTTAAAATACCGTGCGAATTTATTTCACTAATGGCATTGGTTTTTTAATTTGATATGTTGTTTTGGTGTGTGAAAATCGAAGAACTTTTAGATGTTTGCAAATTTGGTTGACACTTAAGTGGAATTCATTTTGGTCAAGGCATTGGTTTGTGGCCAGTTGGAATTCATTTTGCTAAAATAAGATAAATCTCTTTTTGCAGCCTGCAATTGGCTTTCAATTAGAGAACTGTACAAGGTTATTTTTTTTTTAGGTTCTTTGACCAAAGCTTTAAGAGATTTGTATTAACAGAGTCCTAAGGGTTTCCTTGGATTATTTTGCTTGAGATGAGCCGTGTTTTGGAAATTCTATGAATATAATTGACATGGATTCTTGAATTTATGAGTGTTCAATTAGGTTCTACTGAATTAACTGTTTTTGAGAATTTTTCTGTCTTTTTTTTTTTGAGATTTGATGGTGTTTTTCTTTAGCCTGAATACCTTCGATGGTTCCTAGATTATATTTCCAACATTCCTTAGAAGAAGATGGTTGCTACTGTGTTGCATTCTACTTCATTGGGCTGAAACCATAGTTTACTGTGCATCCTCGCTGCTCAATGTGCTCATCAAAATAAATTAATTATCATTTTGTTATATTTTTTTGTTTGTTGATTAATGTTTGCAGATATATGAATCATTTGCAAATTCACTTCATCACACATACATTAAATGATTGCTAAGAACTCTTCTTCTGCAGCCATTATTGGGCCTTCTAGGACATTGTCTTTGGCGATGTATGTCGAGTCCAAGAGGGTGCGGGTGTGGACAGAGAGCAAACAGGTTATGGTGGCCACCGTGGAAAGAGGTTGGAAGATCTTGGTGTTAGGTTCCAAGAGCCATGAGCTTGCTGATGAGTGGTCCCGTAAGCTCATTAAAACTATTTAAGTTTTGGGTTTTGCTGTAATTAATTGAAAATTTGATAAAGACATTATCTTTACAATTCTAGGGTGCCCATTTTGGGATTGTTTTGGAATTCCATTTAAACCTTTGAATTTGTTTTTTCTCACTGATTTGGGCACTGAGCAGCAATGCAGTGATGGATACTCTCTTTTATCAAAAAGGAGCCATTTTTTATGATGAGAACAGAAGAGTTGCCACAATGCTTGAGGTTGCCAACACCAAGAGTTGTAGCTGGTTCAACAATTTTTTTACAAAATAAGTTCCAATTCCTTAGTGGTTCGGCTTTACAGTGAATTTTTCATTTGGTAGATTTCTCTTTGGATTTCAGTTGGTTACCATTTATCATTTTGCTATTTAGTTCTTTTCAGGTTTGTGAATGTTTGACCTGTGTTTTAACTGTACAGCAGCACACTTTTTTCCAGAAAATGAATTTCAGCTCAATAATCTTACTCAACCATTAAATATATACTTATTCAAACTTTACTCTCATGTTACAAATGTTTTTACAGGGCATGTCTCAGCAACCATCAATACAGAATGCAACACCAAAAGATTTACAGGGATATAAATGGAGATTTCGCCATATAACTCAAGGTATTTTTAAATTTAGGCACTTTTAATCATCTATCTGTGAAACCAACTTTACTGTCATTGTTAATATTTGTTATACAACCACAAATCAAATACATACGTCCCATTGTTATGAAACTAATGTTTTTTTAGAAAATATTAATTTCTGTCATCGTGTCAGCCCCCCCAAAATGCAATTCCAATGGTAACCAACTTATGTAATAGTATTTATATTTGTCGAAACCTATAAATAATATTCTGGACATTTTATTGATCTTACAATCCTTGCTGCAAAGTGTCTACAATTGTACTCTATTTTATAGATCTTACGATCTGCAGGTGAAGATGAGTCTGGGTTGGAACGGCTTCATCAATGTGCGGATAATGAGCTACAAGTTTGCCTCAATGATAAGGAATTTCAATGAGTTTCGCACAAAACTTGCTCGATTGACCAGGTTATGTTCTACTAAAGATATTACACTACTTTTCTGATTGGATAAGTTGACTCGGGTCACAATGATATAGCTTTTCAGTTTATTAATACTAACATAATAGTTTTGCTACGTGGGAATGCCATAATATAAATTTTATAGAAATGATGAATGGGCCAATTTGAAATACCAAATTAATGAACTCTTATATGACTGCCACTGCATATTCTCATCTTTTATTTTGTTGGGTTTTATTTTTATATCATTTTTTTGGGTAAAATGCAATGTTGGTTTCGCAAAGAACTGACCTTTATCTTATCTACCGCTCTATATGCATGTAGTTTTCTCTTTTTTGGTACTCAAGTATTTGGTTGATTTTAATAACAATCTTTTGGAATATAGAGAATTTTTGCACCAATGTCTTATTCCTGGATTTCCTGATGATTTAGCATTGAGATGTTAGGCAAAGGTGTCTCATGGGAATCACAGATTGCTCAAAACTATCTCAAAGAAGTGGAGAGATTTGTTACTAGCTCAGACTATGCCAACTATGAAGCTATAGAAAAATGGTGTGGAAATTGGCTATTTGTTATTGATGAGATATAATCCAATAGCTAATAAGTATGCTCCTATATTCGACACTTAAAATATGTCTGGAACTGATGTTACCATTACTACTTTCTTTCTTACAGAAGGAAAGGTTTTTCATTTTCTACTTATTATAGGGGATCCCTTCATATATATCAGTTAATTCCAGACATATCAGTTAATTCTTGCTAAGATTTGTCCAAACTGATCCTATAATGATAGTTGTGCAAACTATCATTATAGGGGATCCCTTCATATATATTAGTTAATTCTTGCTAAGATTTGTCCAAACTGTTTTTGTTATGTCAAAGTTGAAACCTTTTTTTAGGGTTGTAAATAGATTTCACACGTATGTAAATAGTATATGTACATAGTGTAACTTTCTACATATTTTATACGATTTAAAAACCCGCAGCATCGTGCGGGCACTTTTCCTAGTATTTAGCTAAACTACAACATGCTTTAAAAGATCATTGTTATTTTAACCACTTCCACAATGGACCTATATATGCCAGTTGTTAAACTGATTTATTTACCACGGACTTCAAATATCCGTGGTTAAATTGAACTTTTTATAACGAACATTTTTGCCTGTGGTCAATCAGCCTTGGTAGATGTGGTGTTGTGGTCTAGTTATAACTCATTGTCAGCTTTAGTGTGCAGTTTGTAATATTTGAATCTGCCATTTTTTATGTAATTATCATATTGTAATAAATTTGTATACATATTAAATGATTTATTTATGTTTGGAAATTTTTTTAGAACGGGCGTTTGCCGTGGTTCAATTTATAATCCACAACGACCATAATGAGTGTGGTGTTAAATCTCAATCTACTACGGGCACAATCCGTGTTTATATTACATTTGACAACAGACACAATCCGTGGTAGAAACTAAGATTTTTTATTACAACCAAATTAATAACGACACAGTGCCCGTGGTGGATTTCAATCTATCATGGGCATTGACCGTGATAGATGAGCATCTTTGTACAAGTGAGACTTGCAATTGGGCAGCTTGAGATTCGGAATGCCCTTGAAGAATCTAGTGTTGACAACAATTGAAATTGCACTTTGATTTTCGAAACCACCTTACACTGATAGTGGCCAAGTCTGATAGGAAACTCAAATCACCATCTTTACAGCTTCCAAAATGATTTTATTGAATGTTGAGGGTTTTGAGGTTATGAATCTTTCAAAAATTTGCAATCCGTCAATGCGAATATTCAACAATTTCGTGGCACAAACTAGACTTTAATCGATGTGAATATTACAAAAAAAAAACCGAGTATAAGAAGTAGTAATACTCTTCACACAATGAACCTCATTGGTGATTATTTATATTGCAAACTTCCACATCTACTGTGGTAACATAAAAGCTAGACTTCACAGGCAATGCACGAAATTTCTCCATCACAAAAGCACATAAAAAAGAGTTTCTATCCAAGAAAAGTATTCCTAATGGAATGAAGTTCAGATGCAGCATAATTGATATTCTTTAGTCGATCTGTTGCGGATTCAGCAGAACAAGCAATTCCAATTCTAAATATTGAACTCAAGCACACCTCAACTTTATGAATTCTCATGTTGCATTGATTGGGATTCTCGTTCGTGCCTCCTTGAAGAAGTGGTGCATCTGCAATCTCAGTAACTTGCCCGGGGAGAGCCATCTTGACAAAATTATGAAGGTTCAAGCTATCACCAAACATGTTGTCGGTGGGTCTCTTCCCTGTAAACATCTCCAACAAGAGAATGCCAAAGCTGTAGACATCACCATTCGTCGACACCTCACTCCCCATGCCATACTCTACAATTCAAACATCACATAAGTGTATAAATAATTCTGTTTGAATTTTGTAAATTTAATACTCCAAAATAGAAAGGAAATATAATGAAATATATATCTAACATATATATACCTGGAGCTGCATAACCAACCGTTCCTCTTATTCCAGCGGAACTTGTCTGACTCTGAATTGCTGAAACATTACTCGTTACTTGTGAGAGAAATCTTGCTAATCCAAAGTCAGAAACATGGCCAGTTAATTCGTTGTCCAAGAGAACGTTGCTTGGCTTGAGATCACAATGAACTATTGGCGTTTCACAATGATTATGAAGATAATCCAGTGCACAAGCAACACCAATGGCAATTTCTAGCCTCTGAAGAAGACTTAACTTCTTGGGTATATGATCTCTTAACTCTTCAGTTCCAGTAGGTGGATGCAGCCACTCCTCTAAGCTCCCGTTGTTCATGAACTCATAAACTAGAGCCTTGAAATCATTACCATGAAAATCAACACTTGAACACACAGTTATAATCTTGACAAGATTTCGATGCCTAATATTTCTCAAAGCTTCACATTCGGCTATGAAACTCTTCGAACCTCCATGGCGTAACAAGTTAAACACCTTCACGGCAACAAGTTGAGCTTTATCATCCTCATCAAGAACTCCTTTGTACACAGACCCAAAACTACCAGCACCAATTAAATTAGCCTCTGAGAACCCGTCAGTAGCCTCGAGTAGAGTAGCATATGACACTTGCAAGATAGTGTTCCCCAAAGTGCTCAATGAAATTTCTTTCTTTTTCTTCCTTGACGAACAAAGAAAGAAATAGAAGAACACCATGGCTATTCCTAGAAGACTAAGTCCAAATACTAAAGGGAGTATTAGTTTGAAGCTACGAGACAATCTTCGTTTCTTGGTCTCATTAGACTTGCACTTGGGAAGCTTTAAATTAGCAACAGGGCTGCACAGATTAGTGTTGCCAACAATTGAAATAGCACTCGCATTTTTGAAAACACCTCCAGTAGGTACCATTCCCCAAAATTGATTGAATGATAAGTTCAGATTATTCAGGAATCTAAAACCTTCTAAAAATTTTGGAATTTCCCCTGAAAAATTATTGCGAGAAAGGTCTAGATCTCGAATCCCTCTCACTGAACTCATAGACAAAGGAATGGACCCATTGAAGAAGTTTCCTTGCAAATGCAGGACTTCTAAACTCTCACAACCACCAAGGCTACTGGGGAGTTCTCCAGATAGCATGTTATCAGAAAGATAAAGCTCACTTAGACTCTGGAAATTCCCAACCTCCGGGGGAAGGGAACCTGTGAAGAGGTTATTAGACAATTCCAAAGCAATCGATAAGGAGGGGAGTCTAAAAACTTGTTTGGGTATTGTGCCATTTAGGAGGTTATAAGAAAGATCCAACAATTGCAACCCATGGCATTCCCCCAGACCTGAAGGAATGCTGCCCTCAAGATAATTTCCATCCAACCGAAGATAGAATAACTTGGTTAAATTTCCTAAGGAAAGTGGAATATTTCCTGATAATTTGTTCATGAAAATTTCTAATGCTCCAAGGTTTGAAAGCTTACCCATGTCAGAGGGGATGTTACCTGTGAAGTTATTATTCCCCAAATCCAACGATTGCAAGCTCACCAGATTCCCTATCCCAGATGGGATGCTTCCACATATTTGGTTAAGGTGCACCCAAAACGTATCTAGTTTGGTTGAGAGATTGGATATTGACATGGGCAATGTCCCTCCAAAATTGTTGTTGCTTATAATCAACCATTGTAACTGGGTGGCATTGGTCAAGTCCGAGAGAAAACTTAAGTCACCATCTTTACCGCTTCCAATATTATTAAGTTCAACGTTGAACCGCTGGAGGTTGTAAAGCTTTTGGAGATTCGGTACCTGTCCGATTAGGTTGTTATCCCCAACTTCAAAAGCCCGCACACTTGTGACATTGAATATTGCGGGAGGTATGGACCCAGTAAGTAGGTTTGAGGCGACGCTGAAGACTCCGAGATTAGGAATACTTTTGCCAATATCTGATGGAATACTCCCTTGAATTTCGTTAAATGCCATGAAAAATGTAACAAGAGAAGAGAGGTTATAAATGGAGGAAGGGATGCTACCCGACAACTTATTTAACCCCAATCCCAAGAAGGTTAATTTTTTCAATTGGCCAAGAGAACTGGGGATGTTTCCCATCAAGTGATTACGACTAAGAACCAGTACCTGGAGAGACGAAAGGTTCCCCAAGGAAGGAGGGACCGGTCCCGTTACATTATTAGTTTCTAATGTAAACTTTTGTAGCTTCAACAGCAATCCAATTTCTGAAGGAATTTTACCCACCAACTTGTTGCGACTGAAATTCACATGGATAAGGTTGAAGCAATATGATATATTGTGTGGAATACTGGCACTAAACGAGTTAACGTCTAATCGCAATACCTGCAACCTACGCAAATTCCCAATTTGTGGAGGAATTGCATGACTGAAGCTGTTATTTCGCAGCCACAGTTCCCTTAGAAAACTTAGATTTCCAATGTTTGGGGATAGTTTCCCTACCAGATTTTGAGATTGCGGGTGTAGGGTAGTGACCCTTTGGTGATGTCGTCGCACGTCACACCATGCCACATGCAAAAGTGCGTGGATTCGTTCCAGGAGCTCATCACGTTGTAATTATGAAGATCTTTGATGGCAAGCAGCGCCAGCCTATCCGTTGCGTTCCCTCCGAGTCCCGATTGCAGGGAGCTCCTACAGCAAACAAACCCTGCACTGAAAAGCAAGTATATTAAGATCAATTTCACAACCAAAACCCCCATTTCTGATCTGGTTAACCATATAACTAGAGAGAGAAGCAGAAAAAAATAGAGAGATGGGTGTTGAGTGAATTTGGTGAGTTCCATTTGTTACACGAGAAGGAAATTTATAGAAGGATAGGATCATAGGAGGAACAACTTTGGCTTGTTTTTTTAGACGACTTCACTAGCTTACTTCCACTACTTGGACCTATTGTCTGGGACTTTCGGTACGCCAAGGACCAAGACCCTTAAAGCACCTTGACTCCAGAAGCTGACTGGAAACATTTGGCAACCATCTAAAATGAAAGCTTTCTTAATTTTTAAACTTCATGGGGGCTCAAGACTCGAGAGCATTGATTGAAATTGTAGAAGCATAGGATCATAGGAGGAACTTACACCACAGTTTCTGTTTCTTGAAAATTCAAATATGAGAAGGAATAAATCCAAGTAAATGATAACAACTTCGGCTTGTTTTTTTAGACGACTTCACTAGCTTACTTCCACTACTGGGCCCTATTGTCTGGCATTTTCGGTACGCCAAGGACCAAGACCCTTAAAGCACCTTGACTTCAGAAGCTCTCTGGAAACATTTGGCAATCATCCAAAATGAAAAAACATTTGGTTCAAGACTCGAGAGCATTGATTGAAATTTGTAACATTTGGTTCAAAATGAAAAAAAAAATCCAAGAAGAAATCCGGAGACAAATCCTCCAATATGAGCAAAGTTGTCCACGTGTGGTAGAATTCCCACTGCTAAGTTTATTATGATGATGAAAAGGAAAGTAAGCAATGCTGCCAACTGCGGATTGAAATCTGAAACTGTAAGATCAAAGGGTCGTGCACATACTATAAAGAGGTGCATCGTTGAGTATACAGAAACTTTATTTACCTTATTTACATACATTGTCCAATTTGATATGAGCTCTGAAAGCATGCTTCCGAGTAAACCAAAAAGTGCACCAGAAGCACCAACAGAAATACCATATTGAATAAAAAGAGCTGAAAGCAAACTCCCACCAAAACCAGACATGAGAATATAGGAAACCAATTCGAACTGCCGAAGACAAATAAAAAAAAAATTAGAATTTCAAACCAATTAGTTAAAACAGTTCATCAAAACAACCGTACATGATGTAGATCAGCATCAAACTATTATTTTTTCAATCTTTTCAAATAGACGGCATCTTGAAACATTTCAAAATGAGGAACCATGTCTACATGTACTGGATATCCAAAACAATCCTTGTTCCCACAGATGTGATGGAAAACTGAAATAATCTCTCAGCTTTTGTTTCAAGCAATTTTATTCTATAAAATGAAATACTATGTCTAAAACTAAAGTTTGAACCCCATCTTCGGTGTATAAACTCTTTTCTTTGCTCACCGCTGAATAAAACGTCCTCTTGTTTCCATCAAACCTAGCAACATACTGGTGAAAGTTATAATGCAACCAGCACTACATGACCACTACTCTAGGATTACAATTCAATAAACAAATGCATAGAAATCCTCTGTAGATTAATCGCAAGGTAGGTGAAACCATCCGGAAAGTGTTTCTCTTCTAGATTTATGAAAGAAGTTTTGCACTTGGTAACTAATTTATTATTCTACAATTTATGTCGTGTGCTTTATCTTTTACTACAAGACTCAGCATATTGACAAGCACGTGGAAAACTCCAGCATGTAACCACATACATGAGATCAGCCGCCATCCCTAGTGTCGATGAACCACTCTCTGAACGTCTAGAGCACCCATCTTTTCTAACCTTCAGGATGAAAACATATGAGAAACAAGTTAGATACTTAGATGTGCAGCTGAGACCTATTGACCCTTATGGGGCATGTCTATAGCTCTTATTTCCATACAGATGATAGCTCCCTTGGCCTTGTAGTGCTACTTTTAGCAGTTATAGACTTTGGATGACACATACTGAAATGAGCACATTAAACAGCTTTAAAGAATGACAAACAAGTCCTTGAAGAACGCATACCCGCTCTTACCAGAGATATTATGACAAACAATTTCATTTTTCCATAATCATTCTAACATTGACCTCACAGAGCAAGGAAAGTCGAACGAAAATTTTGAAACTAAATCGCTAAAGAACACTACTGTAAAACTTTAACCCTGTAACATATTACAGGGGACATTTTGGTTAACATAGCAATCTAATCAAGCCAAGTAGTTCACTACTTGCAACTCTTCAAGTATTTCCGATAGTGCAGAGCTCCCTTCTTCTTTGTTCAAGCATTTCCGATATGCCGACATCAAATAGACATCAAGCATTGCCTGAATGTCACTAAATACATAAACCCTCATTACCCGTCTAGCTCCTTTAAGTTTCTCAACTGATCGTAGATTCACTTCCATATTCACTAGGGTTCCCAAGTCCAACATTGATTAAAAGCAGAATTACATCAAGCTTCATGCAGTTCAACTATTTTCTTTACAAATATATGTAATATAACCAAAATTCTAAATCCACCAAGTCATAAAATTGACCAAAAAAAAAGGTAAAAACATAACTTTCACAATTACTCTTACCTAAAAAAGTCTCAACCTTGATTGATCCCACTCTAATTTCACAACAAAACCAATCCAACTATCCAACCCTTCTCATCATAGTTTCACCAAAAACACACAAACGAGATCAACTTATATGAAACGGTTCGCCGCCACTCCGGCAGTTCCCCACAATCCACAACTAAAATTTTCCAAATTTCCACATGTAAATACCCAATAAATCCCAAAACACAAATTTCAATCCAAAACTCCAAACCCCAACAAATAAAAGAGTGAAAGCTTTACGTGGTTTTCCTTGAAGGGCTGAAAGGAGAGGCGGCCGAGGAACCGACCAATGCAAGTGTCGGAGTTCTTGGGGCAATCGTTCACGAACATGGTCACCACAAAAACCACAATGTTGGCCACCACAATCGACGACACCAGCCATGACACCCACCTCTTCAACGGGCTGTAGTCGCTGAACGACCGCCGCGGCGTCGTGGTCTCCGGAGGCTGTCCCGCCGGGTGCACAACGTTGTCGCTCCGCCGTGGACTCACCACCTTTATCTCTAAGCTGCTCGGCGCAGCAGGTTGGCCTCTCTCCATAAAAGTCTCCCCTTTTTTCGTTTGTTTTTTTTTTGTCTTCAATCAAGGATTTTGATTCAGACCCAGAAACCCCATTTGGGTTTTGATTCGAATCTCATCGAAATCAAAATGTGGGACAAAATTGAATGAAATGGGTTTTGAATTTTGCCCTCTTTTTTTCTACTTTTTGGGGTTTTTCTTCTTCCAAAAAAGTCATTTACTTTTCTACTTTTTTTCTACACTTGGAAAGAAATTGTAAGAAAAAATATGAAGTAGAATTTATACAGCTAATCTATTTAATGGAATAAAACTTAGTAGAATTTTTACAGCTAATCCACTTAATGGTAGTAGTTCTTGTGTTGTTGTTGTGGTACGAGTCATTTTTATCCCAGTGCTACGTACTCTACAATTATATATACACACTAAAAGAGAAAATTGCCTAAAATGCTGTTTATTCTACAGTGTTATTCCATTTTTACCCCTTCTTTGTTTCTGTCGTCACTGTTTATTGTACAATGAGATTCCGTCTTTAGCCCTGCTTAGGGCTGGTTTGGTATTGCATAGCTTTGAAAAAAATTGCTGTGAGAATAAGCGGCTGTGCTGTGAGAATAAGCAAGCGGTTGTGAAATAAATCAGCAGAGCGTTTGGTAAACTTTTTTGTAAAAGTGCTTTTGGAAAAAAAAACAGTCTGATAGTGGGTCTTTTCATTAAAGGAGCACTGTAGCTCCGTGTGCTTTGAAAAAAAACCAGTTTTCTAAAGCTACAAATAGCAGCTTCAGCTTTTTCCTTTGATTTCAGCTTATTCTCATAGCAGATTCCAAAATAAGTTTTTTTTTTCAGTTTACCAAACACTTAAAACCTTCATAATTTTTTTTCATAGATATTTTTTTTTTAAGCACCTAGATCTTAGTCTTTGGTCTTTTATTTCATTTCTAGATTCTTCCTCCCCACACCGTTTCAGTCTGTCGACCCACCTTTTCTCTCTGCATGCTTCCCCACCGTGTGAGACTGTAAATTGTTTCTCCAAATAGTTTACCCAAAACACCGCCATCACTGATTCATCCAAATCCATTAATTCGCAGAATCGCGCCGCATAACCAGTCAACAAAGCAGAGCTCTCTTCGTCCACGGCAACCCATCGGTCCACCTCAACGCCGCGTGTGCAACAACTAGCACAATCCCAACCAGCAGCGGCACCCAAACATTCACCGTCGCCTGTAAAGAACAGCGGTAGAATCCATTTTGCTAAAGGTAAGCAATTTATCCTAATTTAGAATTTTAAAGTTCTACAAAAGCAGTTTATCTTCTCAAACACAATGGAAATTGGTAAGTTATACGGTATAAAAAATCTGATAAAATCCGAACAAGAAATTTAGGCCTGGGTATTAAGGATTATTTTTGGTTGTGAAAATCCGCAAAAAAACACAACTCAGAAACAACAATTGATAAAATATCGAACCCAACGTACCCATATGAGATTTTAAATTTTAACTTATTATTTTGATTTTTTTTTGTTTGTTGTATTTTAATTGCAGAAGATGAGCAAGCTGTTGTTTGGTTTTGGCCGGAGAAAGGGAAGCCACATGAATGCCCAGTCCAGTTTTCCAACATAATACACTCTGAATCGGAAGGAGAAGAAGAAACAGTTACAGTGTGTCAAAGTTTGTTACTTTTTTGGTGGCCTAAGTTGGGGCATAAGTTTTCCGATGCTTTGAGTGTTTGTGCTCCTTTTTCTTAATCTTCATAACAATCATTCTGATCTCTTCTTATCTCTGTGCAGACGTTTTCCAAAGTTGTTAGAAGTTGGGCATCAAAAAAGTTCATGACAGGATGGTGGGCATTTCTTTCTTCTGGCTTCTATTTCGTTCAAATCATGTTCATAAGCTATACTATTTTCTGTTTGATACTGTGTGTAAACCATCAATTCTATGTTGTGAGGAGGGTCAAATATCTTTAAAGTTGGTGGATTTGTGATTTTTCTTATGATTTAAAGTTGAAAGATGGAGTGCTTTAGTAGTGATAGGAATTTAAACTTAGATTGTCGGCATGTATTTATAATCTGTTTTTCTCTCTTTCTGAAAGTAGAAGTATATTACAAGTTAGCTAAGATAGAGAACTTGCCCCTTGCCAGATGAATTCAAGAAATGTACAACTTAGCTTATTACAAGTTTTAGACTGAGCCCATTTCAAATAATTTTACGCTAATGTCATGTATGTGTGGATTTTTTTTTTGATGCATCCGTTATGTAGTAGAGAGGTCGCACTTGGTGCGATGGCAAGTGCCTTCGCCCATGAGCGGTAGGTCTCGGGTTCGAGACTTGGGAGCAGCCTCTCCATAAATGGGGGTAAGGCTAGCCGACATTCACCTCTCCCAGACCCTGCGTAAAGAGGGAGCCTTATGCACTGGGTACGACCTTTTTTTTTTTTATCCGTTATGTAGTAGCTAATGAGATCAAAGCTTCGTTCTCCTTCTTTGAGATTGCTTTTTGCTCATATATATATATATATATATCATATTAGCTGCTCACTCTTTGCTCTTTTGCAATGTGATCCTATTTCCAATAGCGATCACTTTCTATATCACATGGTGGTTTATTCACTTTGTGGATGGTTTCTTCTCTCCGATCTATGCTCAACTTGGAATAGACATTTTTGCTATGTAGCGTTCTGAAATGCATCCTTAAACCCATTATTTGATTGGTACATTCTAACTTGCATTAGTTATGGTCTTGCGGTTTGACGTTGCTGAGCCTGAGCTAAGTTATTGACAGCCCACCTCGCCCCGCGAATCGCCCAACTTGCAAGGCAGGAAGTTTACCACGTGATCTCAACCTCCTCATCATCGGCAGCAGCAGCGGCGACCACCAGGTTCACCTTTTTAATTTCATTTTAATTTTTTGCTTTTTTTAGTGGATTTAAGAAAATGAAACGGATGATAATTTATAATGGTGATTTTTTTTTTGATTTTTCCGTTCAGTGTTCTGAGTGATCATTGAGCTGTGATAGGTTGGTGTTGGATTCTGTAAAACAGTTTTACTTTGGATGTTTTTTTGGTAGCATAAGGCCTCGATAACGGTAAGCACTTCAAGAGGTATTCATAAAGAATCTGATCTGTTATAAAGTAGTTCATTCTTTGAAGTCAACCACAAATTTTAAATGCTATTGATTATACAATTATAGCAAATGGGTTAATCATTCTATTATCAACTCTCTCTCAGCTCACCACTCTCTCTCTCTCCAGAGCAACTCTCTCTCTGGTGCCTTTCCTTCTTTGGCCAACCTCTCTTCCCTCCAAGAAGTCTACCTCGACACTAACAACTTCACCTCCATTCCGGCCGGCTGCTTCACGGGCCTCTCGAGCTTGCAGATTTTTAGCATGAGCCAGAACGTCAATCTCGACTCTTGGGTTTTCCCCTCAGAGCTCACTGAAGCTTCCAGCTTGGTCACTTTCGCTGCAGGTAATGTGAATTTATATGGGTCGTTGCCTGATGTGTTCGATTTGTTTCCGAACTTGCAAAACCTGAGGCTTTCTTACAATAACTTTACTGGTCCTTTGCCCAAAACGTTTTCTGGATCTGGGATTCAGAACCTCTGGCTTAACAATCAGCTACTTGGTTGCAGAAAAAAAAAATTATTTGTTTGTTGTAAGTTCATATAAAAACTTCAAGCTCTGTTTTCCTTTTTGGTTATTAATAAGATATAATTTGATGATAAGTACCGTTCAGGTCGTTTCAGCAGGGGATGCCAGCTACAATGAAGGTGCCTAATGATCGGCGATGATGACAGTTGGTACAACAACACAACAACAACAAAGCCTTTTCCCACTAAGTGGGGTCGGCTATATGAATCCTAGAACGCCATTGCGCTCGGTTTTGTGTCATGTCCTCCGTTAGATCCAAGTACTCTAAGTCTTTTCTTAGAGTCTCTTCCAAAGTTTTCCTAGGTCTTCCTCTACCCCTTCGGCCCTGAACCTCTGTCCCGTAGTCACATCTTCGAACCGGAGCGTCAGTCGGCCTTCTTTGCACATGTCCAAATCACCGGAGCCGATTTTCTCTCATCTTTCCTACAATTTCGGCTACTCCTACTTTACCTCGGATATCCTCATTCCCAATCTTATCCTTTCTCGTGTGCCCACACATCCCACGAAGCATCCTCATCTCCGCTACACCCATTTTGTGTACGTGTTGATGCTTCACCGCCCAACATTCTGTGCCATACAACATCGCTGGCCTTATTGCCGTCCTATAAAATTTTCCCTTGAGCTTCAGTGGCCTACGACGGTCACACAACACGCCGGATGCACTCTTTCCATCCAGCTCGTATTCTATGGTTGAGATCTCCATCTAATTCTCCGTTCTCTTGCAAGATAGATCCTAGGTAGCGAAAACGGTCGCTTTTTGTGATCTTCGCTAGATTGCTCCGGTCATTAGTGTGGATAAGTATATAAATGGATAGAGATAGGAAAGCAAACACAAGATGTACGTGGTTCACCCAGATTGGCTACGTCCACGGAATAGAAGAGTTCTCATTAATTGTGAAGGGTTTACACAAGTACATAGGTTCAAGCTCTCCTTTAGTGAGTACAAGTGAATGATTTAGTACAAATGACATTAGGAAATATTGTGGGAGAATGATCTCGTAATCACGAAACTTCTAAGTATCGGAGTGTGGTGTCGTCTTGACTTGCCTTATCTGTCTCATATAGGTAGATGTGGCATCTTCTCTGGAAGTACTCTTCCTCCATCCAGGGGTGGTATCTTTAACTGGTGGAGATGCACAAGGTAATGTATCAATTTCACTTGAAGCTTACTTGTAGTTTCAGGCTTGGTCAAGCGCGATACAAACCATGTAGTAGGAGTCCCCCAAGTCGCCGAGCTAGGGGGTCTGCTGAAAGAGGTGACAGACAAGGTAAGCAATCAGAGCTCCGACTGATTGTTCACCTTCTCCCCATCTTGCAGCAGCATGAAGGATAAAGAGAAGAAAAATGAGAAGAGATGATATGAGATACTTTTGCTTTTGAAGAAGTAACTTTCCACAGGCTTATTCTTGAACTGAGCTGGAGGGTTTTCTGGTTTCCTCCAGAGTATAAGGCCGACTGAAGAATTTGAGGGTCAAAACAAGTCCATCAAATCTAGAGTACGTTCCACCCTGCTGATATGGGATACTTTTGCTTTTGACAGAGTAATGGATGTATCGGCACGTGTGCTGTTACGCTTGTCTCCACATGCTTCCTTGTATCCTTCGCACTTGCCCTATCTGTTCCTCAAGCAGATGCGGAATCTTCCCTGGAAACATAAGATGTTGAAGATGAGTACTCGAGAGCAATGCCAGGTAAGTAATCAGGTAAGGGGTTCCAGGCAGTCAGTTCCTGGCTGGAAGCTTGATTCCAAGTGCTGACTGATTGCTCTCTTTCTCCTTGTCTTGCAGGTAAAAACAAGGCCAAAAGGAAAAGACAGGGAAAAAGCATGATATGGGATACTCTTGCTTTTAACCCTGATGATATGAGATATTCTTGCTCTAGTATAGCTTGTTTGCAGAGGTATTATCGGGGGGAAAGAAAGCTGAATATTTCGAAAGGCTTCGTTGGGAGTGCCCTCTCAGATATGATGAAGGGTTGAGCATTTTTGCAGGTCTGCCTGTCCGTTGGGGATGGAGGTCGACATATATAGGAGTCTCCCTAACAACAAGTAGTAATGCTATTCCTTTACCCTGCTTGGTCATAGCACGGTAGTGGGAGCTGCCAGTTTCACATGTTTTAACTCTGTCAGAGCACTTTGAAAAAGTGGTCTGTGGTATCTGGCTCTCGAGATTCGGAGAACGATGCCTCTTCGATTTTTGAGAAAGCAATCATGCTGGGGGTCTGGCTCTCGAGATTCGGAGAGCAGTGTCTCTTCGATTTTTGAGGAAGTAATCATGTTGGGAGTCTGGCTCTCGAGATTCGGAGGGCGGTGCCTCTTCGATTTTGGAGCAAGCAATCTTGTTGGGAGTGTTGTCTCGAATGTGAGTAAAGGTTGGGCATGTTTGCTAGTCTACCTTGCCACGAAGCACAAAGGTTGACACACAGGGACTTTCCAATTATCCAGCAATGGTACTGTTCCTTTACCCTCTCTTCGATTTTTGAGAAAGTAGTCATGTTGGGAGTCTGGCTCTCGAGATTCGGAGGACGGTGCCTCTTCGATTTTGGAGCAAGCAATCTTGTTGGGAGTGTTTTCTCGAATGTGAGTAAAGGTTGGGCATGTTTGCTAGTCTACCTTGCCACGAAGCACAGAGGTTGACACACAGGGACTTTCCAATTATCCAGCAGTGGTACTGTTCCTTTACCCTTGTGGGTAATAATATGGTAGCTAGACCTTCAAAATTTATGTGTCTAAACTTTGTTAGTGCTGTTTCTTTGCTATTCTTTTACCTTTCTTGGTCAGAGCGATGTAGTGGGAGCTGCAAGCTTCACGTGCTCAACTTTGGCAGAGAACTTTGGCAAAGTTATCTGTGGTACCCATGAGCTATTGTTGCGTGTGGGAAGTGGGTGATTGAACAGTAAGATTCATGTGCTTTCTACTTCACCAGAAGTCTTCGACAGAATGCCCATAATTTCTGCAAAGCTGAGTGTGCGTGTGACAGGTGCTGACAAGGCTAGAAAAGTAGGTGCCTCTTCGATTTCTGAGATCGGCCCTCGTGGTCTCTGAGCAGCCCAGCTTTTGAGAAAGCGAGCGCCTCTTCGATTGATTCGGAGAACGATGCCTCATCGATTTTTGAGAAAGCAATCATGCTGGGGGTCTGGCTCTCGAGATTCGGGGAGCAGTGTCTCTTCGATTTTTGAGAAAGTAATCATGTTGGGAGTCTGGCTCTCGAGATTCGGAGGGCGGTGCCTCTTCGATTTTGGAGCAAGCAATCTTGTTGGGAGTGTTTTCTCGAATGTGAGTAAAGGTTGGGCATGTTTGCTAGTCTACCTTGCCACGAAGCACAGAGGTTGACACACAGGGACTTTCCAATTATCCAGCAATGGTACTGTTCCTTTACCCTCTCTTCGATTTTTAAGAAAGTAGTCATGTTGGGAGTCTGGCTCTCGAGATTCGGAGGACGGTGCCTCTTCGATTTTGGAGCAAGCAATCTTATTGGGAGTGTTTTCTCGAATGTGAGTAAAGGTTGGGCATGTTTGCTAGTCTACCTTGCCACGAAGCACAGAGGTTGACACACACAGGGACTTTCCAATTATCCAGCAGTGGTACTGTTCCTTTACCCTTGTGGGTAATAATATGGTAGCTAGACCTTCAAAATTTATGGGTCTAAACTTTGTTAGTGCTGTTTCTTTGCTATTCTTTTACCCTTCTTGGTCAGAGCGATGTAGTGGGAGCTGCAAGCTTCACGTGCTCAACTTTGGCAGAGAACTTTGGCAAAGTTATCTGTGGTACCCATGAGCTATTGTTGCGTGTGGGAAGTGGGTGATTGAACAGTAAGATTCATGTGTTTTCTACTTCCCCAGAAGTCTTCGACAGAATGCCCATAATTTCCGCAAAGCTGAGTGTGCGTGTGACAGGTGCTGACAAGGCTGGAAAAGTAGGTGCCTCTTCGATTTCTGAGATCGGCCCTCGTGGTCTCTGGGGAGCCCAGCTTTTGAGAAAGCGAGCGCCTCTTCGATTTCTGAGATCGGCCTTCGTGGTCTTTGAGCAGCCCAACTTTTGAGAAAGCAAACGCCTCTTCGATTTCTGAGATCAACCCTCGTGATCTCTAAGCAGCCCAGCTTTTGAGAAAGCAAACGCCTCTTCGATTTCTGAGCAGGCGCCTCTTCGATTTCTGAAGCTCCGTCGAGTGCAGATTTTTATAGGGGCTGGCATTAAGTTCCAAAGCACACTTGAATCTCCACCAGTAGAAGCTTCATTCTTGCACTTCTAAGATCTTGATTTGTCCGACCTCTTCTCTCTTCAACACCTTTGAAAATGTCTGGCCCCTCCGACCGTCGTTTTGACTTGAACCTTGTTGAAGAGGCAGCCCCGCCTTCTCCAGACAACATATGGCGCCCATCCTTCGTCTCCCCTACTGGTCCTCTTACCGTTGGGGATTCCGTGATGAAGAATGATATGACCGCTGCGGTGGTGGCCAGGAACCTTCTCACTCCCAAAGATAACAGACTACTTTCCAAACGGTCTGATGAGTTAGCTGTTAAGGATTCGCTGGCTCTCAGTGTTCAGTGTGCAGGTTCTGTGTCTAATATGGCCCAACGCCTATTTGCTCGAACCCGCCAAGTTGAATCATTGGCGGCTGAAGTGATGAGTCTCAAACAGGAGATTAGAGGGCTCAAGCATGAGAATAAACAGTTGCACCGGCTCGCACATGACTATGCTACAAACATGAAGAGGAAGCTTGACCAGATGAAGGAAACTGATGGTCAGGTTTTACTTGATCATCAGAGATTTGTGGGTTTGTTCCAAAGGCATTTATTGCCTTCGTCTTCTGGGGCTGTACCGCGTAATGAAGCTCCAAATGATCAACCTCTGATGCCTCCTCCTTCTAGGGTTCTGTCCAGTACTGAGGCTCCAAATGATCCCCCTCCGGTGCCTTCTCTTTCTGGGGCTCTACCGACTGCTGAGACTTCTCCTAAGCAACCTTTGTGAAGGCTCCCTCTTGTGTGTTTATTTTGACTCATGTATATGTACATATTTGTAGCTTATCGGGGATATCAATAAATAAGCTTTCCTTCATTTCAACGTATTGTGTTAAATACACCAAAGCCTTCTTCGCTAAGTTCTTTGAATTTTCTTTTGTTGAAGCTTGTATGTTGAAGCTTTCTGAGTGGAGCATGTAGGTTGGGGTAGTGTTCCCTTAATTTCCCGAGTGAGGAAAACTTCTCGGTTGGAGACTTGGAAAATCCAAGTCACTGAGTGGGATCGGCTATATGAATCTTAGAACGCCATTGTGCTCGATCCTGTGTCATGTCCTTCGTTAGATCCAAGTACTCTAAGTCTTTTCTTAGAGTCTCTTCCAAAGTTTTCCTAGGTCTTCCTCTACCCCTTCGGCCCTGAACCTCTGTCCCATAGTCGCATCTTCTAATCGGAGCGTCAGTAGGCCTTCTTTGCACATGTCCAAACCACCGTAACCGATTTTCTCTCATCTTTCCTTCAATTTCGGCTACTCCTACTTTACCCCGGATATCCTCATTCCTAATCTTATCCTTTCTCGTGTGCCCACACATCCAACGAAGCATCCTCATCTCCGCTACACCCATTTTGTGTACGTGTTGATGTTTCACCGCCCAACATTCTGTGCCATACAGCATCGCCGGCCTTATTGCCGTCCTATAAAAATTTTCCCTTGAGCTTCAGTGGCATACGGCGGTCACACAACACGCCGGATGCACTCTTCCACTTCATCCATCCAGCTTGTATTCTATGGTTGAGATCTCCATCTAATTCTCCGTTCTTTTGCAAGATAGATCCTAGGTAACGAAAACGGTCGCTCTTTGGTATTTCTTGATCTCCGATCCTCACCCCTAACTCGTTTTGGCCTCCATTTGCACTGAACTTGCACTCCATATATTCTGTCTTTGATCGGCTTAGGCGAAGACCTTTAGATTCCAACACTTCTCTCCAAAGGTTAAGCTTTGCATTTACCCCTTCCTGAGTTTCATCTATCAACACTATATCGTCTGCGAAAAGCATACACCAAGGAATATCATCTTGAATATGTCCTGTTAACTCATCCATTACCAACGCAAAAAGGTAAGGACTTAAGGATGAGCCTTGATGTAATCCTACAGTTATGGGAAAGCTTTCGGTTTGTCCTTCATGAGTTCTTACGGCAGTCTTTGCTCCTTCATACATATCCTTTATAGCTTGGATATATGCTACTCGTACTCCTTTCTTCTCTAAAATCCTCCAAAGAATGTCTCTTGGGACCCTATCATACGCTTTTTCCAAATCTATAAAGACCATGTGTAAATCCTTTTTCCCATCTCTATATCTTTCCATCAATCTTCGTAAGAGATAGATTGCCTCCATGGTTGAGCGCCCTGGCATGAACCCGAATTGGTTGTCCGAAACCCGTGTCTCTTGCCTCAATCTATGCTCAATGACTCTCTCCCAGAGCTTCATTGTATGACTCATTAGCTTAATACCCCTATAGTTCATGCAATTTTGTACGTCGCCCTTATTCTTGTAGATAGGCACCAAAGTGCTCGTTCGCCACTCATTTGGCATCTTCTTCGTTTTCAAAATCCTATTGAAAAGGTCAGTGAGCCATGTTATACCTGTCTCTCCCAAAAGTTTCCACACTTCGATTGGTATATCGTCTGGGCCTATTGCTTTTTTATGCTTCATCTTCTTCAAAGCTACAACCACTTCTTCCTTCCGGATTCGACGATAAAAAGAGTAGTTTCTACACTCTTCTGAGTTACTCAACTCCCCTAAAGAAGCACTCATTTCATGTCCTTCATTGAAAAGATTATGAAAATAACCTCTCCATCTGTCTTTAACCGCGTTCTCTGTAGCAAGAACCTTTCCATCCTCATCCTTGATGCACCTCACTTGGTTTAGGTCCCTTGTCTTCTTTTCCCTTGCTCTAGATAGTTTATAGATATCCAACTCTCCTTCTTTGGTATCTAGTCGTTTATACATATCGTCGTAAGCCGCTAACTTAGCTTCTCTGACAGCTTTCTTCGCCTCTTGCTTCGCTTTTCTATACCTTTCACCATTTTCATCGGTCCTCTCCTTGTATAAGGCTTTACAACATTCCTTCTTAGCCTTCACCTTTGTTTGTACCTCCTCATTCCACCACCAAGATTCCTTTTGGTGTGGGGCAAAGCCCTTGGACTCTCCTAATACCTCTTTTGCTACTTTTCGGATACAACTAGCCATGGAATCCCACATTTGGCTAGCTTCCCCCTCTCTATCCCACACACATTGGGTGATTACCTTCTCTTTGAAAATGGCTTGTTTTTCTTCTTTTAGATTCCACCATCTAGTCCTTGGGCACTTCCAAGTCTTGTTCTTTTGTCTTACTCTTTTGATATGTACATCCATCACCAACAAGCGATGTTGATTAGCCACGCTCTCTCCTGGTATAACTTTGCAATCCTTACAAGTTATACGATCCCTTTTCCTCATTAGAAGAAAATCTATTTGTGTTTTTGACGACCCACTCTTGTAGGTGATCACATGTTCTTCTCTCTTCTTAAAGAAGGTGTTGGCTAAGAAGAGATCATATGCCATTGCAAAATCCAAGATAGCTTCCCCATCCTCGTTTCTCTCCCCAAAACCATGGCCACCATGAAAACCTCCATAGTTGCCTGTCTCCCTGCCCACGTGTCCATTTAAATCTCCTCCTATAAATAACTTCTCCGTCTGAGCAATTCCTTGCACCAAGTCTCCAAGATCTTCCCAAAAATTTCTCCTTCGAACTCGTATCCAACCCTACTTGAGGTGCGTACGCACTAATCACATTGATAAGTTCTTGTCCTATTACAATCTTGATTGCCATGATTCTATCTCCTACCCTCTTGACATCTACAACATCTTGTACCAAGGTCTTGTCCACGATGATGCCAACACCGTTTCTCGTTCTATTTGTGCCCGAATACCAAAGTTTAAACCCTGAGTTTTCTAGATCCTTTGCCTTACTACCAACCCACTTAGTTTCTTGTAGGCACATAATATTTATCCTTCTCCTCACCATAACTTCCACTACTTCCATAGATTTTCCCGTTAAGGTTCCTATATTCCACGTTCCTAAACGCATTTTGCTCTCTTGAACTCTACCCTTCTGTCCTAGCTTCTTCACCCTCCCCCGTCTAATAGGATCAAAGTACTTCTTTTGTGTGTCCCGGGTAAAGTTGATAGGAGCATATGCTCTCAAACAACTTTGAGTGGAGTCGTTCGAAAAGAAGTTTCTATGGCCCCCTTGCTCATTTAACACTGCATCCGGGTGCCGATGGAGATACAGCGACCCTTGCTCACTTACCACTGTGCTCGGGCCACACAGCGCGCCACTTACGGGTGACGCCCTAGCTTTAGCGCGATGTGGTGTTAAAAAAGAGGCTAGATTTTGGATTTAATGGCTTCCAAATCAATCAGTTATTTCATTACGTAATTATCTCAACTTTATTCTTAAGTATTTCTCTTTATTTCTACAACAATGGTTTAAGGACTTCAGCTGGTACTCATTTAGTTATTTGTTAGCATGTTTTCTAAATAAATAAAAAAATAATGATTTGTTCACTGTTTGATCTTTCCATGAACTCTTTATGTCTCTATTTTTTCCACTTCTCAGTGTTTCAATATATTTGTATTTAGTTGATTAAATTTCTGTCTTTACAGTTTTAAAAAGAAGTTTCAAAGTGTTTCTGAATGCAGGACAAGAGAAGAATGTGATGGGCCCCAAGAACAGTGAAGTAAGAAAGGTAAAGCATGTGAATCATTTTTGTTGTACATAGGTTGTTAATATAAAGTTGGTATAATCAGGTGCAAATTGATGAAGTAAAGCATGTGAATCATTTTTGTTGTACATAGATTGTTAATATAAAGTTAGTATAATCAGGTGCAAATTGATGATGGGAGCAATTTATTTACTCTCTGATTTGTACTTGGAAAGCTGCCGTTTTAGTTGTACATCATCTCTTGATGCAAATTCAATAGAACATACATGCAAAGTAAAGACTTATTTCTACCATTTGGGCAATGTTCTTAAAAACGGCCAAAGCGCTAGGCGGTGGTGGCCCGAGGTGTTTTCTTGCAAATTTGTTGGAAAAATCGGCTGGGCTGGGCTCTAGGCGGTGCCTATGCGGTTTTTATTTTTGAAATAAATAAAAAACCCTATCTACATTACTATATTTTCATATTTTCCTCCTATTTTGCATTTTATGTGGTTTTAAATTGTGAATTTATTGTACATGTGTCATCCTATAATACTCTTCACTATGATTATGTGGCATATATGTTTAATGTGTTTTTAAATTTTGGACTTGTTGGATATTCTTTTTGCATTTTATTATTATTTTATTATCTTAATCATGGATTTCATACAAGTATAATTTTTTGTAAGTGTCAATATGCACTTATTTATAAGATATACATGAAATTTACCTAAATCCGCCTAGGCGTCCGCCTAGACCCATCCTAGCCGCCCAGGCACCCGCTTAGACTCCACCTAGCCGCCTTGGCGCTAGGCACTAGCCCGCCACCCGACTAGCGCCTAACATTTTTTAAAACCTTGCATTTGGGTTTAACTGCTTTGATCGGTTTCTAAATTATTTGGAGATGGGTGTTTTAAAATGTGGGTACAGTTTCAAAATCTGCAGCAAAGTGCGGGCATCTTTGCTTGTTAATACTACGTTGGATACCCATGCTATATATATTAGAAACAAGGACGGTGAATGTTGATAATGATTATGACTAGCCTTAACCTTGATCATTCTTCCCTCCTTTGCTTTATAAATCATGAAAAAAATAGGAACCTTCTGTGTTTGTCAACACATCGAACTATTGACCTCAAAAGAAGGGGAAGGGTGGATTTTATGGGGTACTTTGCAAGAAAATTCGAATCTGTTGGGGGCCAAATTTTGGTGGGAAGCTTGCATTTACAGTGATCCAACAATGCAGCTTCAGTGTGTTTTAGCTTTTAACATGGCCATCCAAGAAAAAGGAGAATCCATCAGTGAAAGGAACAAATGAAACTCACCTAGAAATTCAACAATTGGTATAACTCAGATTATCAAAGTAAACTATTAGTACAGTACAAAATATATATATATATATATATATATATATACACATACACACACACACATTTATGGAAGGATACGTGACACTAATTTTTTTACATGACTTTTGACACGTATTTTGTAGAACTCACTCCATAGTGCATTTCAACGCTCCAAATCGTCTATATTTTAGATCTTCCTTCAAAGATCATGTTTACCAAAAATCATCCAAATTTGAAACCATATGACCGTTGGATTTTCTTTGTAGAACTGCTTTCTTCACTACAAATGAATGCTTTAATGGTTTTGAATTTGTCTAATTTTTTGCAAGATGATTGATGAGCCTTTCAATGATCTATGTATGATGTTCTAAAAAATAGACGAGTCGGATCATTAAAATACATTACGGAGTAGACCCCACAAAAAACGTATGTCACGAATCTGCCCCTTATATTAGCTAAAGCAAAAAATGATGGTTTTTCTATAGAAGTTATGATAAATCGCCAAAATGGTCCCTAAGATTTGCATAATTCATCATTTTGGTCCCTAAGATTCCAAAACGATAAAGTGGTCCATAAGATTTTTCATCATCCATCATTTTGGTCATTCCGTTAAAAACTTCGTTAAGTGTCCCGGAGGAAGTTTGAGCAATTTTCAAAGCTTCGTAACTCAATCGTTTCTTAACCATATTAGACCCATAATGTATCAAAATGAAGATAGGAAAGTGTAGAATAAGATTATACCTATTTCAAAGCCCAATGATTGCCGGAGATGGCCGGAAAATACCCTCAAAGTTGACTGATCCGAGTGAAAACTTGAAAACTCGCCGGAAACTGGGTAAACTTTAAATGTTCATAACTTCTTCAATACTCAACGAAATCAAGTGATTCAAAAACGAAAATCATACTTCTCGATGAGACGAAGAGAATGGTACCTTTTGTTTACTGCTAAATCTCTGTGGTTTGGCCGAAAAACGGCTTGAAAGTAGCTGTCTTGGTTTACTTTCGAGCCATTTTCCGGCCAAACCACGGCGAGTTAGCCATAAAAAAAAATGTATCATTCTCTTCGTCTCGTCGAGAAGTATGATTTTCGTTTTTGAATCACTTGATTTCATTGAGTATTGAAGAAGTTAAGAACGTTTAAAGTTTACTCAGTTTCCGGCGAGTTTTCAAGTTTTCACTCGGACCAGTCAACTTTGAGGCTATTTTCCAGCCATCTCCGGCAATCATTGGGCTTTGAAATAGATATAATCGTATTCTACACTTTTCTATCTTCATTTTGATATATTATGAGTCTAATTTGGTTAAGAAACGATTGAGTTACGAAACTTTGAAAATTGCCCAAACTTCCTCCGGGACACTTAATGGAGTTTTTAACGGAATGACCAAAATGATGGATGGTGGAAAATCTCAGGGACCACTTTTATCGTTTTAGAATCTCAGGGACCAAAATGATGAGTTATGCAAATCTCAGAGACCATTTTGGCGATTTACCCTAGAAGTTATATTAGGGAGAAGTGAAAGGTGTAATGCATGCTTATTGATTGCTCTTGGACATCAATCACACCAGAACAGGTTTTAGAGTAGTTGTTATAATTAGTTGTGATTTGTTGTAGTAGTGTTGAGACTGCACAATTTATTATCGTTTAAATCTCAATGTATAACCACTCAGTACTACGGTTTGGTAGTATTTTTCTTCACTTAGAAGTGAGAGGTCTTAGGTTCAAATCTCGTTAATGGCGAATTCGATATTAAATTAGGCTACCTATTGTGTAGCTTAACCGAACACTTCCTCTTCTTAGTGTAAAAATAGGGGTGTGTGGATATCACACCCCTAAAAATCTCGATGTATAAATGTTTGCCAAAAAAAAAAATCTTCAAATCTCACAAACTAAAATGAAGAGTTATGTCAGTCTTATAAACCATTATAGAACAACTACTTGAAACCAAATTATCATTTTAGAACTTAGCTATGAAGCATATAAAATTATAGTCTTAATGAAACAAATTAGAAATAACATGCTGCTTAATTTCTAGCAAGAGCCAAATCTTTTCTTGTGAATTTTGTGATCGAGATTTTACCTTTTTAATTGAAGCATTCTCACTTGTCTACTGCCAAAATTGTTGAGACGAACTTATTTAATCATTAGGAAGTTTGAAATAAAATTCATTTTTTTGTAAAATAATGTAAAAGAATATAAAAAAGTTCCTTGAACCGCCAGGTCATGGGTCATATTCACGAATTTAGCGCCCCATGTGCTTCCCACCTCATTCTTGATTCTATTTTGGACAAGACCTTACACGTGGACCACTAACTCATTCCCACGTAGGTGGTGGGGTCAGATATTTGATGTGTGTGGGACCAGCCTGACATTGGATTCATGATGATCTCTGATTAGAGCGTGCGATGCACTCGCAACCATGTGAGCCTTCACATTGTTGCCTGATTTATAGCTCACCAAGTTAACAATAGGGGTTTGCTATCCACACATCCCAAATTACTTCTCACACATCCTTATTAATTTCTATCCGTTGATCTTCTTCAATTCATCCGATCCAACGGTCGGAAATTAGAAGGGTGTGTGAGAAGTAAAATGGGGTGTGTGGATATCACATCCCTAACAATATAGCCATATCTACCGTCCATGTGAACGTCAATCTGGAATTTTACATTTGTTTCGAGGGTATTTAATGGGAATTTAACGGGAAGTTTGTTTGCCCTCATTAAGTGGGATTGCCTGAACTGGACTAAAACTTAGAGTAATACCGTGTTTGTTACGCAGCAAGATAACCTTTAGTGGGACTAGCAGAGACTTGCCTCGACAAAGGACGTCGCTAGACGGTCTTAGCTAGTCCCATCGAAAGGCATCGGATTGTTAAGACCTTCGTTGCTTCACTCCATCTGCTTATCTTCGTCCGCTTCTCTCCCTTGCTCAGCTTCATCTGCTTCTCTCTCCCTTGCCCATCTATATGCTTCTCTCTTTCCCAGATCTGAAACCCAGCCCACCCGCTGCCTAAATCTCAACACCAAAATTTGAAAAAAAAAAAATCAAAACAAAAACAACAACAATCCCCATATAAAAATTCTTCCTTATTCCCAATAATTCTCAGAAAATTCCCAAAAAAAAAATATTTTTTCCCTGAAAATTCTTGAGAAATGGAGAGAGTAGCTTTGGTACAAAGAAAAATGGAAAGACGGAGGAGAGAGTAGCTTTAGGGACCATTTTGCAGGAAAAATCACTTTGAAGGATTGTTTTGCAGGAAAAAAATGAGTGCTGGGGGGACGGCACTAACGAGGAAGAAAAGAATGAACTTCCAGGGAGAAAGTCCAGATACAGGAGAGTGTTCCAGAGTCCAGACACAAACACAAAGAAAAAGCTTGAATAAAAAATAAAATATTATTCAATGTGTATTTAATGATATAAAATTATAGTTGTTAACTATTCTTTTTTTTAATCCAGCACTCTATCAAACGTTTCTCTAAATCAGTCCAGCTTAATCTAGTCTGCGTCAATCCAGCTTAGTCCTTAAAGCTAGTTCAGTTTGAGTTAGTCCGGTGCTACAAACGCACCCTAAAGGTCTTCACTTACTTAAGTAGTTCAATACAGAGTATACAGAATGCAAATTCAATGAAAATGGGGTTTCAAATGAGATAGGAAGGGGATTGGAGATCAAGATGTATTAAAGAGTGAATGTATTAGTTATCTTTGATCTATCTTGCAAAAGAAAGGAGAATTGGATAGAGATCTCAACCATAGTTTACAAGCTGGATGGATGAAGTGAAAGAGTGCATCCGGTGTATTGTGTAACTTTCGTATGCTACTAAAGCTCAAGGGAAGATTTTATAAGACTGCAATAAGACCAGCAATGCTTTACGACACAAAATGTTGGACTGTCGAACATTAACACGTGAAGAAAATGAGTGTAGCGAAGGTGAAAATGCTTTGGTGGATATGTGAGCACATGAAAAAATGACAAGGTTAAGAACGAGGATATTCTAGGTAAAGTATGAGTGACCGCAATTGAAGATAAGGTGAGAGAAAATCGGTTAAGGTGGTTGGACATGTGAAATGAAGACCTATAGCTACAGATATTCCGATTAGAAAATACAATTATAAGACAGACATTCAGGACAAAATGGGTAGAGATCTATGAAGACTTGGAAAGAGACTTTTAAAAATGACATAGAATACTTAGAATTAAGTGAAAACTTTACACAAAACCTATACGAAG